GCTGTACACATGGCAGTTGTGTGAACTTGGCGTTCATGATGAATTTATCAGTCATCGATGCACTGAATGCGAAGAGCATTCTAGTCTGGAAAATCTGCCGCATAATTCATTTTATGAACATATGTTGGTGAAGTGAAATTTGCATTTGATGACCCCGTGCTTGTGCTGCAGTCTGTTGGTATTTATTATTTGTCAGTAATATTATTGCTGAAAATAACTGGTTTATAATTTTCAAATAATTGCTATTTCTTGAACCCTAACCTTCCCGAATTCTCCAAAACCCTCTTTGCAAAATGGCGGATTTGTAGGATTGAGGATATGGCCAAAATGTGTGGCTGATTTTGGAGGATGTTGGGTCTTGGGCCGGACCTTGTGTTGTTTATGCTCAGCCGTGCATAAATTTAGGCCCACGTTATACTTGAAATATCCTCGGAACTGCTCCAGGATGTCACTGGCTTTGCCTCGACATATTGACTGATTGCTGGAGGATTTTGCAGGATTGAGGCAGTGGTCACCCCTCCAAGTAACACATTCAAGAAATAACGGAGGATTGTGCAGGATTGATGCTGTGTGCAATTTTTTTTACATGGAGGCAGTTGGAGGATTTTGCAGGATTCAGGTTGCATCCTAGCAAAAATGCCTAGGGAGTTAGGGTTAATCACTTGTTTGTCAGTATTTGGCAACCTGAAAAACAAATTTAGATTTTCAAGCTGAATTGCTAATTCTTAGCATTACCACAAGCCATCAAACAGAATCACAAAAAAAAATATCAATATTCATAAATACCTATGATAGTTTACCCATTCCTATTGGTCGGGAGCCGGTTATGTGGCCAGTCTTAAACGGATGATAAAGACATAGCTAGCTGGTCTTAAACACTTTTCCAGTGTCACATGAAATTGGGACTCCTAAAAATCCAGTGCCTCTTCCATTTTATTGGTTGAACGTTCACAATCCTCACGTAGGCATGCGCAGTACTACCAGTGAGTCAGAATTTTATAGTCCTAAATTCACAACGCAACGCCACAGGTGCATTCTGCGCAACATCACGCAGTATGCGCAACGGCGCGCCAATCTCCATAAAAGGAGTTGTTTACATCTAATTCGGCAGCTGGACACTCCATTATTTAGCTAGAGAGGGGTGTTTAAAAAAACATGAAGTGAACTTTTTGAACAAAATCAGGGTTTTTTTTACCGAAAAGTTTGGATTTTTTTTGACCGAAAAGGCATTTATGAATGGGAATAAATATGTGCTTGGTCGGTATTAATCACTCTGTTTAAGACTGCTTGGAGTCTGGGTGCTGATAATTACCCGAGCCTTCAGCTCAGGTAATTATCAGCACCAAGACTCCAAGTGGTCTTAAACAGAGTGATTAAAACCTCCAACACACACATTTATTCCCTTAATAAAGTCAAACATTACCTACATAAGCTTCAAAGTGTCTATTACACGTGTACGTACATTATATCTTTTCTGGAAAAATCTCGGGGTTGGAACCGGTTCCAACCCCGAGATTTTGGACAGTGTGAAAAGGCCTTAAATACTTGGCAGAGTGTTTTTTTTTATAATTGGAAAATTAAAAAGTTTTAGCTGCAAAACATGACACATGTTTACGGGTAGCCTACATTTATACATACAGTACAAAAATGTTAGTCCACTATTTGTTTATCATTATTATCATCACTATTATTTTTAAATAGGCTAATAAAACATTCCTAGACAGTCCTTGCTCCAATTAGTTTATGAAGCTGGATGTTTCCATTTGAGTGTAAATTACATGTACAGGTTGTATGTAATTGCCTCATGGGTATCAATTTATTCCCAGATGGAAAGCAGCAAATCTGACAAAGCCCCATTCAGATACACGCATCTCAATTTGTAGTGCTGATGGATTTGTAAATATTTCCCAATTAACAAATGTAAGCCCATTGCATTTGATACATTTTACACAAAGCCATGTGACCAATACACATACATGTATGTATGTACTTAATGTACCAGTACCGGTACGGTACCATGCCAAAATTTACTTGTATGCTTCATACTGGCATCAATAATTGGCTCTTCCTCAGTCAAGGAACATCATTTGCATGAATAATTTATATAAAGTCAAAGGTTAAAGATGATTGGCCTGAGTTTCCTGCCCCAATTCTAATAGTATGGTTCCTGTTGACAAAAATATGCTACCTCCCTGTAGTACATTTCATAGAAATAAATAGCAGATGCTTTCGGCAAATCACATTTCCACACACCCCCAGTCACATTTACATGTACAAACACATTGCCAACTCTGGGAGATGAAGTGCTCATAAATTTTAAAGGCTGACGCTTGAAATATCACAGTGTATTAATTAGTGGCTTTGACTTGAGGGATGGATGTACATTGTACATTGCATATTGCACACGTATTAGAGGGAAATACAACATTTGCAAACATCGAAAGACAAAACTACCAAATTATTATGAAATACCTTACTGGACTGTTAGTGAATGACGGTCTAAAGCATCATCATGGCACCTGGCGTGCTGTCATTTTCTAGAAAGTTTTTTTTTTTGGTATCAATTTCCCAAGCTGGTCGGCCCCCAATACTGCCCCCAATTTACCATTATTTAGATAGTCCGCATTAATGCAATCGATTAAACACCTATGAACAGGTACAAGCCAGCTAGACTGGTTCCCTGACCTTACAACTCCCCCACATCTATATTAAAGTTGCTCCATTTCAACTTAAGGGGGGAACCTTGGACTACAGGAACATTGTTTTTCTAGTTTTTTTCCCAGCATCTACAAACACAAAACTTCCAACAAGTCTGTGTAACAATATTTGCTTATAACATAGTAACCCCCAAATCCATCCATTTCTGAAAATTACAGCAAAAGCAAATGTATAATTCCCTTTAACTGAAGAGTACATATTCAGAAAAGTAGGAATTAAGCACTTAAAATAAGTTTCTTTGACTTCAGCATTCTCGACTTCAGTATTCTCTTAGGGTTTGGTAAGCTGGCTATTCAGGTTAATCTTTTTTAATCTAGGGGAGTTGGGTTGGTGCATTGGTATTTTCCTTTCCTTCCAGCCCTGAGACCCAGGTTCGAATCCCACCCAGACCAACATATAATTTGGGTTTGCAGTCCCTCCCAGATACTGAAAATCCCCCCCCCCCCCGGAATTAAATGTATACTATGCTTGTCTTTCTGGGTGTTTCTCCCATCTCTAAAACTAAACATGTTTTTATAGTTTCTCTACATATTCTCTATAGTAGAGAATATGTAGAGTTCATATAGTAGTTTCATACTCATAGGCTACTAGTGCCTATGAATGTTTTGCAGAATCCTCAGTTTCATACCAGAAAGAATTAAAGTAAAGTTCCCTAAGGAGTTAGGACAATTGTGCACTCATTTTGTATTATACGCAGTCATGATTTGCATCCTACAGTTTCTCCACTGATACAAAATGTGCTCTTCAGCTGTGCTGTAAGTGCTTTTCAGGCTTCAAACATTTTCCTTGTTTTGCAAAATATGTGTAGGCTGGCCTGCATTGGTAATGTGTGAAATAGGAGCTAATATTTCCTCCAAAAGGAGGTTGATTTGTAAATATTTAAATGACAGATTAGCAACGTAATAGTTGTAAATTAAAGTATGTAGAAGACATCACTTGAGGTTCATAAAGGACAAAAAAATTTATGAAAACATTAACCCTAACCCCATCTGATGAAGTAGTTGTAGAGCAAGTTTATAAATGCAAACTTTTATTCTTGTTTATCCTATTAAGTGCTACTTACTTTTTAATGTGCCCCTAGGATGTGTGAAAAAAAATCATATCAAATTGGAGGGTTCTAGACTGTTAGCGTTATCATTGGTGTTAATGAAAACATTAATAGGGAAATGCCCAGATTAAAAAAAAGTACGGGTATATATGCTTGTGTCTTTCCTTTTGATGTTTGATGCTTTATCTGTGTTGGCTTACCAGCTGATGTACCGGTGCATGTAGAGGGCCATTCTTTGGTCACTGTGTGACATAAAATTGGACTCGTCTGATTTTTGAAGCTTTAGGCCTACCCCTTGTTAACTACATCTGACATACATTTTTGTACATTGTATTACTTTCACTGATTCATCAGATTAGTACTTTTTACTCCCTACGTCAGAGTATAATTTCTACTTTCACAAATTATGTCGAAATATTAGGAGGGATCATCACAGTTTGATTACGTGTGTGACATCAGACGAATTTTTTTTTTTTATCCGGCCCATATCGGAAATTCATGCTTTTCTCCAAAGTTCTAAGGACACACACCCATACTTATTTTGGAGTAAGACTAGCCTTTTGTGATTTACAGAATGCATAAACAATGTACACCCTCTGCTTTAGTTTAACTAAGTGGGAATTGCTCTGTGGTCACGTGTGTGACATTTGGACCGGGCACATGTGTGAAATTTTGTAACAGACATTTTGTAATTAAAAGACCAACTTATACAACTTTTTAAAGAAATTTGCATCTTTACTAATACTAGCAACTCTTTAGTGAACAATAATCATTTGCATTACATCACATAAAACACTTTTTATTTCCCCCCTCCCTAAAAAAATATAATTTAAGTTCAATTTTGGAAGGATTGCTCTAGACAGGAATATTGGCAGACGAGTCTCCGCCTTTAACCTTGTTATCCTTTCATTTTATTCGGACGTGGCAACATGAAAATAATTTCAATTTCATGTTTGGTAGTCTAGCAAGTCACCGCATCACTGAATACAGGAAATGAGGGTCGGAAGTCCCTCGCACTGCTCTCCGAAAGAGTTCCCCTAGAAGCTAGCGTCTGTACTCCAAAGGTTTTGCCCTCTGGCCCCAAGGGATATATGCTAATGAATTCTTTCCTGCTTTGTGAATGTAAACAAACTCTTATATAAAAAATATAAAAAAATTGCTGGTACTAGTGTGATGTGCTTTGACAGCCTACCGCATGTATTTTCTCCAATGTTTTGTTTTACTCGCTGATTAATCCTCAAAAACCAAAATGGCGGATGACCTTTGGAACTTTGGTAGTGGCAGGGACTTGTGGGATACGTCTGAGTTGTACGAGGTTGATTCCATTGAAGGTGAGGTGGGTAATACCAAGGCGAGCAGACAGTCGCAACCGTTGATCAAGTTGGCGCACAAGGGCAGAGCAAAAAGGCCAAAGCCATTTGGTAAATTTTTATTGCACAGTGTGCATGCTAATTAATTTGTACTAATCCCTACGTTGTAATAATATGCAGCTAACTTGTTCACAGTAAGCTCTGAAGCTTTTGGAAGCCATGTTGTGATCTGATACCGGTACGTGTACCGTATGTTAGCGTAACTTCATGTACCGGGTGCTCATCATGTGATAATGTTTTTGTCAATCAAAAACATGAGCTGCATGCAAGTTACTGTCAGTGGTGTATAAACTTTGGAAGACTCCAGACAGGAGGTTTGTAGCCACGGATCAGAAAAGCAATATACATTTTGCCGCTCACAAACTGTTTTAGACCGAGTTACATGCATGTATAATTCTAGGATTGTTTTTTACAAGATTTTTATAAGATTCTGTGAATATTCTTATAAGATTCTTATAGGATTCTGACAAGATTCTTATAAGATTCTTATAAGAGTATTTCGTAGGCCGCGCCGGGATTCTTATAAGATTCTGATAAGAATCTTACAAGAATCTTATAAGATCTTACTAGTTTGCGTATAAAATACTCATAAGATTCTTATAAGATTCTTATACGATTCTTATACGATTCTTATACGATTCTTATACGATTCTTATAAGAAGGGTCTCAGATTCTTATAAGATTCTTATAAGATTTTTACAAGATTCTTATAAGATTCTTATAAGATTCTTACAAGAGTATTTCGTACTAGATGCATGGTATCATCAGCCAGCTACCAGTACATGTATCGTGGCAAACTGTTACAAACTGACTAAATTCAAAAAAGTGTCCAGAGCCCACTTTTACCTCGGCGGAAAACATGTCATCGTGTTGTGGAAAAATGGCTTAAATGAAGAGTTAAGTTTAAAGACAGTTTACCCGTTCCTATTTTAAACACTCACGCCAATCTCTGTATAAAGAGCATTTTATTACTGCTCGCATGAAGAACATACAATAAACATAGCTAGAGGTGAGGTTCACAAAACGTGAAGTAAACTTGTTGAATAAAATCGTTTGAAATTTATAAGTTTTGACTTGTTTTGACTGTTTGACCGAAAGGTATTTATAAATGGGAACGACCGGTATACTTGACCGGTATTAAACTATATGTTTAAAACCGGCTCGGGTCTGGTTGCGGATAATGGTCCTCGCCAAAGCATCCAGGCCGCAAACAGTCAAAAACGGCCAAGCACATTATTTATTCATAAGATGGAATTTGCGTCGGGGTGATGTAAATTCAATATTAGGGTTTGCCCTTCACCGACGTATAAACACTGTATACTCGGTGTGTTATCCCCTACTGATAGTGAAGAAAAAAATCACTCGCGTGGGACTCAAACCCACAACCTCCTGCTTGCTACCGGTAGTACAGACGTCTTACCATTCTAGTGGTACCCGCTGCTACATCAGATTCAAACCAGCCAACCGACCCCGCAAGCTCGGTGGTCGAGTGATAAGATGTCAATCTGCACTAGAATGCAGGAGGTTGTGGGTTCAATCCCACCCCAACGAATTTTTCCAACTTTCTCTCGGGGGGGGGGGGGGGGGGGGGTAGTATACAGTGTTTAGACGTTGGTGAAGGGCAAAACGTAATATTGAATTCACATATTTATTCCCTTACATGTATTTACAAGTTGAATTTTGTTTTCATCCCATTAACAGAAGAGTTTCTGTACCCGACAAACCCCGACGTTCCCGACTATGGCTTTGATCTGTACGAGCGTGTCGCCAAGCTGGAGGGACAGGTTAAAGATCAAGAGGACGAGATTACGTGTCTCAAGGCAGCCCTCGCCGACGTCGTTAGAAGATTAGCTACGTTAGAATCTTGTAAAAATTCACAGAGAGGTGAGTGCATTATATATGGCAATGCAGTATGCTGTTTTAATACTGCCCTCGCGCAGGTGCTTTAAGGTTCTTTCAGGTGCTTTGTCTGATGGAAAAATCAATTGAAAGATTTCATTGATCATTAGTAGAAGAATAGAAGTGACTAATGATTCCTTGCGGGAGTTTTCTTAGGGGAAGTATCCTATATTATTTCTCACGGGAATTTAGCAAAAGGTACTGAATCCCTGAATGTAGTTGCACTACCTGCAAACTACGTGCCTCTGTGTGAGGTCCTTTGGCTGTGATGTAAAAGAACTGGGATTTGCTCAGAGGTGTACACACTTTGATTAAATGAAATTCGTTGAATTTATTAGACATCATATTGATACACCTGAACATTTCTGGGCCTTCGTTGCATTATTTACAAACAAAGAGAGCTACCGGCATTCTATCCTGTTACACAGTTCTTCAGTTCAAGGAAATGTTTTTAATGCAAGGAACGAGCAAACTGAACTAAATTAAAGACTTTGATTAAATGAAATTCGTTAAATTAAAAGATACCATGTGGATACACCTGAGCATTTTTGGGCCGCTGTTGCATTATTTACAAAAAAAGAGAGCTATTCTACACAGTTCTTCAGTTCAAGGAAAGAATTTTAATGCAAGAAATGAGCAATACTGTGAATTCTGAACTAAATTTAAGAGCAAGAGGAAAACATGAATTCCTTTATGTCATTTGATAGTGGCAGTCATTTTCCTGCTACTAGTAATTATAAACATCAAGGCATATTGAAAGACTGTTTCCTCACAGTGTCAGATCCAGGAGGCGCTCCACCCCCCCCCCCTTCCCCCCCCCCCTTCCCCCCCCCCCTTCCCCCCCCTTCCCCCCCCTCCCCCCCCCCTTCCCCCCCTTCCCCCCCTTCCCCCCCAGGCAGTGGCCAAAATTTTCTAAAATAAGGCAATTTTCACCCGAGAGAGCCCTTCTGCCCCCCTGCCCCAGCACAACCTCCACCCCCACCATTAACCTCTCTAGATCCGCCCTTGCCTCAGTAAGTCAAAGGACATTTTCCCCCTCCTTCACCCCGGAAGTACGGTGGTCTGCAAGCTGTGTGTCAGTGTCTTACATGTATATTTCTAATGGCACTTTTGTCACGGTCCTACAAAATATCACAGTTTACTTTGTATCACAATGTGTTACAGTGTATAGAAAGATGTCTCCCATTTTTTTTTTTAAATTGTCAGACTCACTTCTTTTTGTCTTACAAAATATCACAATTTACTTTGTATCACAATGTGTTACAGTGTATACATTGTAGAAAGATGTCTCCCATTTTTTAAAAAAATTGTCAGACTCACTTCTTTGGCAATCACCCGCATTGTATTAATACTTAATTCATTAATTTTGCAGATTTTAAAAAGTTTTATCAGACCTTTTGCATGCTGTATCAAACCATTGCATGTTCCATTTTGTCACAAACTCTGTTCAAATGTGGAAAAACCTCTTTTTGTTTTGCCTGATAAACATTTGTAATTGTCATGTCGTAACTCTGAGTCAAATTTTTTTTTTATTTTTTTTTTTTAATGAAAATTTGTTAGCGTATCATCCATGCGAGTGCATTTTGTATCCATTTTTTTTTTTTTTTACATGTCCTCAAAATTACCTCTGTGTATGTACTGTACATGTACATTTGTGTCATTTTGCATGAATGAGATGTGGTGTCGGATTCCCTTCCCTGCAAATTTCCAAACCAAAAATTGACTAAAGAGTACCAAATCCCCGCACATGTTACTCACGATGAAAACACGATTGCATGAATATTGACATGCTCATCTAAAATGCAACATATTGCAAACGTTTGCTATTCTTGTCATAAAATAAATGGAAATGTTACCATTGCATTGTGCTATTGACAGTAAGCTCATTGACTGACCTGGTTCAATACTTATCAATAGACAGTATTCTTTTCTACATATCATGCATGAATCCCGCCCATGTGTGGCTCTGAGCCAGGCCATCTGCTCACAAAGACAATAGCCTGTTGTTATTCATTGTCATAATTATTCATGTTTAACCGTCTGCTTGAAGCAACTCGTCCTTTGTCACCCTGCATGTATATTTATTGCATGTGTCATTGTCCTAATCTGAAATATTAATAGTTTTGTTTATCTAGTGAAAATAATTTTTGAAGTGATATTCTGTATGACTACGAGATACCGGCTACTATTAGACATTTCTGACATACACTTTACAATGTACATTGGAAGAATTCTAAGAAACCTTTATATGGAAAATGTGACTTCAATTCTGAAATGTGACCTCTAGTCTAAAAAGCTTGGAATTAGGACAACTGAAACAAAGATTTTGCCCAAGAAGCAAATTTCATAAACTCTGTCATCTATCTTGAAGTTGTAGACAATATTTGAACAGTTGTTTAAAACACTTGTAAGTAAACAGCCAGAGCAATTGGAAACAAGTGACCCAAATTAAATTGCCAACAAATTGAGTTAACGACTTCGTTTTCAACGGCTCATTGCAAAAAGCTTTCATTTCGATGGATAATTTTCTGACCTTACACTGGCTTCAGTTGGTAAACTTGAACAAAACACATGTACACGTTGTTGTTTGGTCAAATGTGATGTTATTATTGAGTCAGGTGGAGTTTTGCATGTTTTGAATAACACTTGTTTATAAATGAATGCAGTCTATGATGTACATACACCAGTGACATAATCGAGCACAAACATTTAGTATGTGTATAAGAAGTTACCTTTGCTTTATATACAACAAAGCATAAAACGCCCATTTGTTGCTTAATTAAGTTGATGTCTTGAACTTTCATTTATTTTGCAAAATGTCTATAATTCATGAATGTACACATTTGGGTAAACATGCCCACCTGTTTGTGTTAGCTCTGCTGTCAAAATGTTTTTCAAACTGTATTGCATTTTACGAGTGAACAAATAATGGAGGACGACCATTCGGTAATTTATGAGGCAAATTTTATTACTTAGTACAAAGTACTGCTTGCACAAGGCCTGTTCAATTTATTTTGCAAAGTGCAGAACTCTCAAACTTATAAATGCACATATTTTTAAGGAAACAAGCTTGAAGGGGAAAAAAAATTAAAATTTGAGTGAAATCATCTGTCTGATATACATGTAACACATTTTCAGGGAAGGTAATTAGAAGGGGTTTGGGAAGATGTGGCGGAGCTGAAATAGTGATGGGGATCACAGGCTGATCCATGTTTGGGTCAAGAAAGGGTTTAGCAGGCATCTGTTGCGTGCTTCTGCTTGATTTTCCTATTTTTGGGTGGCCCAAGAGGGGGATTTAGACCCGCCCTCCCTAGATGTGCCACTGGTAATGCCTGGACAAGAGGGCTAAAACTTTATATGAAGGCCTGTTGAGTTGACTTGAATTAATAAAGAATGATTTGGGGAGGAAAAAACGCTTGCTCGGGTGAAGTTCTCTACTTTGATGCAGTCTACCTTGATGCAATTCTTGCAGTTTCCTTTCATTCTAGAACAACCTTCAGGACACAGTTTCCATATTGACAATTCTCCTTTTGAAGTTTCCTGCACTACTGTATGTTAGATCTAAGTGTTAGGTACCTACACTGTTTGAGTAGGTGTTTGTGAGTGGTCAGTGAAAACAGTTTCAAATTGTGTGAAGTTCTGTCGCACATGTGCATAAATGTACATAAAGTGTATGATCCCCTGTATCATAATTATAACTGAGCTTGCTTTATGTTCACATTAAACTATTAATTTTGGTGGCATATATGCATGCTTTAATTTTGCCTACTAACATACATGTACACAATGCACGTTCTTCTTGCCTCTTTGCATTCATTTTTTAGGCATTGATTTCATGGCAGTGCAATACAGTGCACCTACATGTATGTACAGTAAACTTATACTCTAATTCTAAGCATGATCAGCCAAAGACACAGAGTTGCAGAAAAGTTGTATTCTTTATCAAGATCGCCAGTGATTGATCTCAAAGACCTTGAGAGATCAATGAATAGTTACAGAAGAAAGGCAAGAAGGAAGTGTTTTGTGATGAGCTTTTAGTTATGATTTGTCCTTCCGTTTTGTTTGTTTATTTTAATATTGCATGGCTCATAATACTGCTAAAAAACCTCACCCCAAAACCTGCCTTTCCCCTGCCCTATAGGCTGCCAAACTCACCCCCATTGCATGAACTAAAACCAAAAACCCAAGCAAGCAAGCCAGCGACCAACCATCCTGCTGTCCATGTCTGGAGCATGCTGCATGTAGGTGTAGAATGCTTGTGTCAATCTCCTCATCGGTGGGTGAATGCTGGTTCATGGTTTGTTGAAGCTAACATCCTCTGCACTATGGATGTCACCTTACAGGGTTACCGCAAGGACCTTTCAAAATCAAAGATTTCACAGGTAAGCCGTTTTTTACTAAAACACACCCGCACTCCGTATATCACTGTTAACCTCGTACTAACCAGATTTTGCCTCTTCAATTGTGACCCGCTCCGCAAAAATGAGTCTGTTGTGGCAAAACTGACATTTTGAGTTAACTACATTAATAAAATGGGAATGAAATAAGCTTTCATTTCATATATCAGGGACCTCTCTAGGACATTTGGTTGCATTGTTGTGCTTGTTTCATTCTGTAAAGTTTTTGCAAAGCAAGAAATGTCTCAATGGAGAAAATAGGCTTTGAAAAATGACAAATACACTGTAACTAACCAAGAAAAGCACCAAAGATTCATAATGTTTTTCTTTTTCTTACAATATTTACATTTCTGTGTAACATATTTGAACTAAAACTATCAAACAACCAAAATAAAACAAAAACAAAAAAATCCAAATTTTGAGCTAATTTTTACTGTTTCCATTTCAAAATGGCAAAAGCTTGAATTCAAATTATGCGACATCAGACTCATTTTTGCAGAGCGGGTCACAATTAGCATTCTACATTTAAAAAGTTTTTAAAAAATACACTTTTTAAGGTTAAAACAAAGAAAGTGATAGAAGCGGGGTTTGAACCTACAACCTCTGGATTGCTTTTCTGGTGCTCTACCAACTAAGCTATCCAGCCCTATGTTGGCGGTTCCCCATTTAGTCAATGTCTTTATTCAAGGGGCGCTTGTCAGAAGCCATAAACCACAGGTACATGTATATATATGCCATGTAGCCAGGGATCATGCCCAAAATAAAGATGCTAGCAACAAGAGCTATGCTGCAAACCCAGGAAATAGCACACAGCTTTCTAGCTGCGGGATAGCAGCTCACCAAATCATCATGTCTACGTTAGTTAGTTAGTAACAAACATTGACATTGTCTAGTGCTCCTACATATTTTGACCGATTTCAACCAAACTTTGTCAAAAGTATCGGTAGCCCAGCCCCAACATGTCACATGAGACCAAACTGGGGTCAAAGGTCATCATGGGGTCACTGGGGTCAAAAAGCTGATTTTTGTACTCAAGAGACTACTTCCAGAAAATACATGGCACAATCACGTGACTCGTGCATGAACACGAATTTGTTGGCCCGCAGCTTCTGAGATATTTCCAATCAAGTGTAAGGGTAACAAGCTCTCAGTTAAGGATAGTACAGGATGCAGTGTTTAAGTACATGGAGGTAAAAGTTTGAGTCCGCACGCTGCATGCTGTTCCTTAAATAAAAATGACAGCCCGGTCCTTGTATTTCCCCATCATTCATTAAATTTTCTCATTTAAATATTTATTTAATCACTTTTTTTTATCAACTTTTGTGGTGTTTCATTACATGGTGAAGGTTTCTTCAAATATCATTCACCATTGAAAAGTTTATAATCTGGTTGCGTTTCAGATTACTAATACTTTCCAAGTCATGGGCAGTATATTGAGAGTCGAATATTAAAAAATGAAGGGGCACTCTTGGAAGCAAGTCGGGTCACTTGGCAAAAAAACTCGACTCAAAAAAGAAGAAGAAAGAAACACGGTTGGTTGTCTCCAAATGTTTTAATCATGCAGCAGTCAAACATTTGTATTTCGTTTGACATCAAAGTAACAAGTATGGATTTGAAAAGAGGAGATTTTTCACTCAGTAAACTGATATTTCAAAATTGGGCAAGCAATATTTAGAGGATTTGGAGGCTGTACCATATACCCCCTCCCTAGCCCCATAAATGTGGCCTATTTACTGGACTACCTCCGTAAACATAGGCCACACTTCCACATGTACAAAAACGTGTCGCACTTTGTCAAATTTTGATTTTCACATTTAGGCTTAGTTTGTAGGTTTTTTTTGCTTTAGAAGCATACTCACCCTCTTTATAGGCTAATCAGAAAGTGCTGCCTTTTTCAGATGATTAATTTTTGTGAAATTTCATGTTGAAATTTTGATATGCAAACGTGTGCAAATGAATCTGGAAATTTCACGAAAAATAGACATCTGAAAAAGGCAGACTTTCTGATTAGCCTATAAAGAGGGTGAGTATGCTTCTAAAGCAAAAAACCCCTACAAAATAAGCCTAAATGTGAATATCAAAATTTGGCAAAGTGCGACACGTTTTTGTACATGTGGATGTGTGACCTATGTTTACGGAGGTAGTCCAGTAAATTGGCCACATTTATGGGGCTACCCCCTCCCATGACTAAGTAGTCACGATCCCATCCTAAAAGTGAAACTGTACATTGAATCGCTTCTTGAGGAAATGTTACTGCGTGGATGTTGGCTCATTTTCAGGCATTGGGCATTGGTTTTCGCGGGTGCCCAAAGCACCAGCCTCCAAATTTTTAGCACCTGACGCCTCCAATTTTTAGCACCTGATGCCACTGCAGAGTCTTATGATTAGGGTCTTGGTTGAGCATTTGGTGATGATAGAGGGGGCTGTTTAACTCCACCTGTAAAGTAAGCCCCAGGGACGGTGGCTTCGGATAGGGGTCTGCAATGATGAGCCAAGATACATGTATATCAGGTTTATTACAGTCGTGCACTTTGAGTTTTGCCGCATTTAATGAAACTCATTCAAAAATCTACATGTATATAACATTTTTAACAATTAGACACATTTCTGCAACTTATCAATTAGTTGTGAACAGTGGCGTAGCCAGGAATTTTTCAGTGGGGGGGGGGGGGGGGGGGGGGGGGGCGGGGGGGGCTGGAACATTTCATGGGGGGGCATCATGCAGATCAATGATAATTTTTGTAGAAACTCAAAATCTCAGGGGGGGGGGAGGGGGACAAGGTTTCAGGGGGAGGGGGCTGTTGCCCCCCCCCCCCTGGCTACGCCACTGGTTGTGAAGTTTTTGACAACTACTTGAATGGAAGTTGAATATAAACTGGTGATATAAAAAAATGTCTTAATAATTTGTGACCTGCCATAGCATAATGAGGAATAAACCCCAACTTTGACTTTTCATGTTATGTGTATCATGTTAAAGCACAAATCATTGGCTTTCCAGCGATACCAACATTACATGTATATCTGTAGCTTAATTTTTTCCAAAGATATGCTGCAGGAACTTCAACAGTGTCCTGGAGTCCTGCCAAATTTCTCTAACCTTATTTCAAGAAAAACGGCTTTTAAAAAAAGACAAGCATTGCACCGCCAACGGCCCGGAGTGAAAAACGGTCTTCACTTTTTCCACTTTTGTGGGTATATTTTTCCCATCCAAACTGCATAGTGTGAATTTTGGATACCGTGGCTACTCAAAAACACAAAACAATCAATATGGATTTTGACATGATTTTTCAAGTATATGCGACTTCAGGTGTCGATTACTCAAAACAAGGTTTTGGGGGACATTCCTCATTTTGCCTCAGTAGGTCACATTTACCCTTTGTGAAATTAATTTTACTGTTAGTATGTATTGTCTTGTCCCCATAAAATTGATGCTTGCACAAGGGAATCAATTTATTCAGCTGACATTTTCCCAAGGGCATTTACATACATGTACATATTTTCTGTAAGATTATATCAAGAGATTTATTCATAGAGGAAGGTGCATAAAGCATCATAGTGTACAATGTTCAAATGTGAAAGTACAGTTTGAGAATGATTTTATCTGCAAGATGTTATCATTGAATGTAAACAGAAAACAGGTTGCAGTTAAAATGTATATTTTTCATAATTAATACATACACGTACAGGTGCACTGATGATATGTGATACATGTAATTAGACTAAAAGGTTTTCTGTTACAATAGGCCTATAGGAATTGAATACATGCATTCTTGTATGTAGTGAAATCTTGATACTAAGTCAAACCTTAAGGGAACAGACCCAAAATTTGAATTAAGCAGAGTTTTGAGTTAAGCAGGGTTGTATATTATTGCTTTACACTGAAGGGAACAGATTTTTTGTTTGACTTAACAGTTTTGACTTATCAAGATTTCACTGTACATGTACCTATGCTCATACATCATATGAAGACCAGAAAAGTGTTACTATGAAGTGCAAGTTAAGAGAAATTCATTTGTATCATGCAAAATATACAAATTTATCAGTAAGGTTCTTCTACATGTTGCTGTGTATATGCACCAATAAACCAAATAAATAACAGAGGTTGTTTTCAACTTTTTTGTGTTTTTTCTCTTAGTAATGTTTTCTGCGCTTTATTATTATTATTTTTTTGTAGGGTTTTTAAGCCACTCTCCCTTGCCATCCAGACCTCCCATGTACAATGATGTCACCAAGTCCAGAACCAAAATCTTACTCTCGCCGGCGACGCCCGAGTCCCAAAGGCGGGGCAGAACAGGGTCCTTCGGGAGCAATTCCTCGGGTAGCGACGGGAAACTCCGCAAATGGGGCTCCCAGGACAGCTATAGCTTCCCAACTTCTGGGTAAGTAGGAATTCCTCATGGGAAAAAAATCAATTCTTTCAAAGAGCATATTGGAATCCTATACAGATCTCTCGTGGTTGAAAGTTAAAGGTACGGTAATATACAACATTTGCAAACGGGAGAAAACAAAACTACCAAATTATTTTGGAATACCTTACTGACTGTAAGTGAATAATAGTTTCAAGCATTCTGTGAAATCATGGCACCTGGTGTGCTGTCTTTTTCAAGAAAATGGAATTTTTGTATCAATTTCCAATGATGGTTGGCCGATCATCGCTGGGGGAAAAAGCTGCCTTTTTTTCAAATACTGCCCCCAATTTACAAAATTTATTTAGTCCACATTTTGTTTGCAGTCAGTTGCACATTTGTGAATGGGTTCAAGCTACGGTAGCTAGTCCGACTCCCTGACCTGACAATTCCACCGACATCTATAAGATGCTCTGTTTCATCTGAAGTAGGGTCAGGGAACCAGACTTACGAGAGCAGTATTTTTTTTCTTGGTTTTTCCAGCGTATGAACACAAAACTTTATACAATATTTGCTATAAAATACAAACCCCGAATCCATCCATTCCTCAATATTACAGCAAAAGCAAATGTTGTATATTACCGGTGAATGATAATGTTACTTTTTGAATTTTTTTGGGGATTCTTTTGTTTTGGTGTCCTTAGTATTACGGGTAGATGTTGATGGGTGTGGGTGCACTAAAACCAAATTCTTTTTATACCCCTCTATTTTCAGTTGAAGGTATTTTTTTCTCACAGATACAATGTGGCTTTTGAGTTTGTGATTCAATTCAAAAATCAGAATGCATAGTTTTCAGATTAGTCACTCATCAGAATCAATCAAATTAGAATTGTTGGCAGCAAATTTTCAAGATGACTGGGATTATAAGCAAACAGATAATTTCTTTTAATGATGATTTGAGGCCCATTCCATTGGAAGGCGTGACTTTTAGCAAAATTAACATACATGTAACTATTCTAACTATCACATTCTGACATAAATATTTGACTGCATGTATCATTTAATGAATGATGCTTTTGGAATGTCAACATGCTGGTCACATTTGCATATATCAATTGATATTTTTAATTCTTTGAGCCACATTGTTGCAGCTATGCTCATCTGTTTTGAATTGAATGCATCTTATTGATTTTTGTGTGTGGCATGGAAAAGCTTGGTTGAATGAAAATGTTTGAACATTTTTGAAACTTTGCTGCAATTGTGAAGATCAGAAGAATTTCATTTAAAAGATATTAGACCCTATAATTCCACTGCTAGATATAATTCCAAACCTTTAAATCAAAGAATTTCTGGGGAAAAATATTGTTTGGTAGTAGAAAATGTGCAGTGGAGGTGCCTGTTTAGAAAGGGGAAGGGTTGTTTTGCATTTTGGGTTTGGTTTGCCTACTAACCTCAGTCATTTGTCTGATATCATTCAGTGATTTTAATATTGAACCATGCTGTGTTCCCATTGAATCCCTATTCCCATTGATGAGTTTTGCACAGTGTGTGCATGTGCCTGCCAAAGTGTGTGCCATAATATATAATCAAACTTAATGTAAAATTGGATTTGAAAATACAACCGTTGTTTTTTTTACCAGTTTGAAATGAGAGTGTTTAAAATTTGGTTTCATTCACTCAGTTTATTCTGCCATGGATACTGTATTTACATGTAGATTTACAAGATGGGATCCATTTTTGTGTCCATTTAGAATCAAAGAAGTACAGTATGTACATGTACTTTATGTTTTCAACATTTTTAGAAGTTATGCAATTGTCTTCTACTAGTACACAAAATTATATGAGTATAGAGTGAACATGTATATCTTGTGAAGTCACAGATGCTTGCAGTAATACATGTATAAGTGAAATTTACTTTTTATAAAAAAGCTATATTTTCATTTTTATTTCTAAGGTCAAAAGGGTGTCTGTAATATGTAGGCCTATCTGTATTAAAGGGAAGATATAACATTTGCAAACATCAAAAAAACGAAATGATCAAATTATCACGAAATGATCTTAACTGGATTGTTAGGGAATGACATACTAAAGCATCCTGTAAAGTTGTGGCTTACACACCTGTGAAGACTACAAGCGTGCTAGACTGATTCTCTGATCTTACAATTCCCCAAAGTCTATAAATTGCTCTGTTTCATCTTAACTTAAGTGGGGTCAGGGGACCAGAGTACAAGAATATGATTGGTTGTCTTGGTTTTTGCAGCATCTACCGTACGAACCCAAAACATGAAACAAGTCAGTGCAACAATATAACATACTAACCCTCCAAATCTATTTATTTATGAAAATTGCAGCAAAAGCAAATGTTGTACATTCCCTTTAACAACATGTTTTGTAATCTTGGCCTAGAACATATATTTAGAGAACACTGTAGTTTAGTTCTGTAGTTCTGCAGTTTTATATGTAGTGTACAATGTAGCACATTATTCTAATGTCTTGCACGTGTGCATGGTTACAAGAAAACAGGAAAGTAAACATTAAGTACTGGTATTTATTCTTCCTGGATTGTGTAATTGTTCATACCGGTACATGCCATTGCAGACCACGTCATTGCACACCACGTCCCCTATCTCCAGTGACACGCTCAACAATAATCAGATAGACCCTGAACATGTGTGTTTGTAATCATTCTATTTTTAGCATCACACGTAATGCATTCATTGTGTGCTGTAAGTTTTATGCAGGAAGTCAAATGCTGTATTATATTATCAGCTCCCACTTGCTTGGTTTTCCCGCCATTTCTCTTGTGGGTCAGTTAAAGGAACAGTTTGCCACTGTGACCATCCAAGCATTTTGTCTCATTTTTTTTGGTTTAAATTTGAATAAATTTGCAGTTGGAACCAAAGATTTGTTTGATTACAAAGTAAAATGTATATTAATTTGATATGCACCGTTTATCCTTTATTCATATGTTGTTGTGGTGTGGTATTAATCTTTGCAATACATGTGAAAGCTAGATTACTCAAAACAATACTTTCAAGCTATAGTCCATCATTTGCAGCTATCCAAAAAGTAACTGACGTAATTATTGTTGAAAAACATACTTGGTTGAAAGAATATAAGGGAACTAAATTCCCTGTGAAATTATTCTTTTTGGCAGGCTGTCATTTTGAAGAAATCAACAAAAGAAGGCCTTTCCAAAGGTGCTTTTTAAGACGCACTGTTGGAAATTTCCCTTAGTAGTTCGTTTTTTTGTATTCAGCGAAGCACGCCCAAGCGTTGACACGACGCACACCCACGCGCGCCATCTATAATTCGTCGGATCAGTGCGCGACATCGCGTAGCTGCAATTGGCTCAGTGAGAATGTGTCTCGGATGCTGAATTCAGGCCCGATTCAAAACATGATTAAGCAACTTTTGATTTGAAATCAAGATCCTAGAATGCTGTTTTTCGCGAAATATACAGCTGAAGCTGAGCTAAAACTTCATCATGTTAGTTGTTCATCACCCTTCTGTAGATTTTGAGCATGTTTGTTGCTTCAAACGAACAAAATGCACAAATTACAAATGATGGACTATACCTTTAATTTGCTATTTGGGGTGAGGCTGAAAAAAAAATGTAACACATAAGACCCAGTTGGCAAGGACTCCAACTTGGGGCGTGTAGAAGGAAAACAAGGAAATTACCATTGAAAGAACTGAGAATTACCACTGCATAATGCTGACTCCCAGAAACTATTAGATCGTAAAGTAGCAAAATATTGATGTTGGGACACCATCGATATAACTCCTCCGTCGTCAATTTGTTTAAACAAATCATTAACTTTTCTCCGTTCAAAGCATTCTGGCTGATAAGAAAAAAAATGATAATATACAGTTATATGTATTGTAATTTGCCCCTTTTTTTTTTAAATTGCTTATTTTCTCATGCTCAAAGGCCATTCACTGTACGTATCAACCAATTGTTTGTCAAAACTCGAGCTGCTGTCTCCATTCTACTTTGAACATTTTTCAAAACCTTACAAAAGTTCAAAATACACATTCCATACCAAAAATGTGCCCATGCATTGCTTTTTGTTGTTCTTTATTTAATATTGAAACCCCGTTTTTAAATCAGTTCATAATAATGCAACTAAAATGTGGACTTTGGATGGCCCCTACAGGTATATTTGAAAAGTACAAGTGTACAGTGCTGTAAAAAAACTGACCAAATTATGTCAGCAGTTAAACATCAAAGGTGATGTACATGTACATCAAATCATCTCAAAATATCATCACGATGATACTCAGTTTGAGAAATGAAGTCTATGGATTACATATTTTTTATTCATTTATCTAAAAATGAAACCAGATAGGATATTGAAAGAACTCAGTATACCATTCAAACATTTAAGGTACATTTTGCATTCTAGCTGTTTAGGTTGTCATTCCTTTCAAAATATACAAAATTTTGTATATTTTGAAAGGAATGACAACCTAAACAGATGGAGAATCATAGAAATATAAACCTCTAAATAGATCACTCAATCAGATCCGTGTCAAGATTGTACCATTTCAGTTTATACTAACAAAATAATTAACTTCCAAATTGTAGCATAATGCGCCTTAATGTACAAGAATTTTCTATTTTTTAAAAAAACCACCACCGAGTGCTCCTTTAATGCTACCGCACTGGGTCACATGCACAATACAGTCAAGGCAGGCTTCACTTCAGTGGTTTAGTGAGGGTGTGACTAGCTCCAATGCATGGCATGTACATGTACATGCACTTGTTCAGCAATTACAGTGAGCGGGACTCTGTGTGTGTGTGTGTGACTGTGAGATTTCATTGTGTGAAGTCCACTAGCTGATCTGCACTGGGAGTCTGTGTAGTTGGCAGCCATTAGCACCGGTGGTGTGTGGACTTTTGTGGAGGGTAACCGAAGGAAGATAGAAGGGGGCCTGGACAAGTGGATAGTACTACTGTTGGAGTAGTTTGGTATTGGATCTGGTTGGTGGTGTCTAGTAGTTGTATAAAAGCAAAGGAAACATGAGTGCAAGACCGAGCAGTGCCAGACCTGGCGCAAAGGCCTCACCCCGGGGCTCTACACCCCGGCCTGGATCTGCAGCCGGTGGCCGTAACAGGCCTCGATCTAGTCCTGGAAAGAAGTAAGTTGTTATCCCATTTTTCACAAATCTCTCTTTTTTTATATTTGGTACTTGTTAGATTACCTACATGTACATCTGATGAACTTTTTGAACATTACATGTGGTAAGTAACTTTGATTTACAGCAGACTGATTGTACATTGTAGAAATTGGACCATGCGTACGGTGCACATGTAAAAAGTAGAGTATAGAGAAATGTACAGTTACAAATTTAACCTTTTAAAACATGGACAGGTGTTTTGTGTTTGATTTTACCTTTTTGGAAACGGTTGGTAAAGGTTGCAAAATGATGACTGACACTGTGTGAGCTGTTACATGGAGGAAGGAAATATCCTTCCTCTAGCACTAGACACTATGTCAATTAGAACAGTCTGTTTGTGCTCTGCTTTGCTTTGACCAGCTCCATACTGACTTACCAGCAGGTTTACCTTGGTTTACTTCGAACTTTGTTAAAATTCTGGATAGAATGCAGTACGGTATATCCTGATGCCAATTTTTTTTTTACAAATTCTTATGCTACCACAACAATTGTCAGTCATCATGTACATTTGTACAATGTTGTAAAACTTGGAACTGAGAAGTGTATTCAATTTTGTTCGACATATTTTAACAAATTTTGCGGCTCCCTGTAGATTTTGTACACAACCAATAATGTGGCGTCTTGATACTGTTTTTTGTAATTTCTGAACCGATTGTGCTCAAAATTAATAGTTAACTTCAATATGTGGATTTGATTAGTTGCTGAATTGTTGACAGTACGTCTAGTTCAAGTTGCTTATCTTTTATAGTGCATGTATACCGGTACTTCACATCATATGAAAGCAGTTACTGCTATAGACATGTTGGAGTTATACGTGTACATGTAGTTAATCATTCAATAATTGTAATGGCTTATTTATATTACTAGGTAAACATGGAACAATCAGCTAGATACAGAGGTGTGTGGACTTTCAAAGTTCAAGCTCCTACCTGTAGCTTTAAATTTAATAGTATATTCTGTAGTTTGCTGTCAATGTAAGAAGTGCTTGAAAATGCAGCTCTGTAGTTATTGTCTCTTATAAATCTTGAAATTGTAATAACATACTTTGTAGTTAATGTAGTGGCTAAAAGTTCTTGTTGAGATAATTAAAATGTATTAATAGCTAATGGAGAGAAACTACACATACATGTAATTTAAATGTGGTGTAAATTTGAAATGAATTTAGTTGAGCTTTTGGGATTTTTTTAAACAGAACCTGAAGAAGTCCACGTATTTCTGTTTCCAGTCAAATATTTTGGCTACAATTTGATGTGTACATTGTACACGTTTAAATGTGGACTATAAGTTCCATGACAAAATTGGCTCCAAACCTTAAAGTATGCGTGGATAGGCCTTTTCAGTGTAGCTTCTTGCTGAACTAAATTCATTTCAGATAGGCTGAATGAAGCTGACATGTAGTTATTGGAAGAACTTAGGCAGCAATATGGTAGACATGCTAACAGTAACAACTGTACTGCTTGTAGTAGAACACATGTACATGTACAGGCACTATTGGTAGAAAAGCGATGCTTTGTACATGTACATGTACATTGTACATGGATAGATAAGCCATTTGTACTTGTACGTGTAGTACATGTATGGTACATGTATGTACATGTACATGTACTAGCACCATTTTTCCAAGATCTATCTAAAAAAATCAAGTACGTTATCCTGGTTGGACTGGCATACGGCAGGCACATACACACGTGGGCAAGTATGATGGCAGTAGTGTGCACATCTCTAGTTAGATTTCTTCACACTCTGTAGTTCTTCTCTTTCACAGTTCACCTAGAAAAAGTGCCTCAATGACAAACATCCACAAAGCAGGGGAAATTAATGGGGCACGTCCACGGTAAGTTTCAGGATGCTGCATCCAGAACGATTGCAGTCTGTTAAAGCTGCTGGTGGAGGATGATGGTAAAATGGGTCAATTGGAAGTGTTTTTAACCTTTGACCCCCAAGAATAAAATGAGTATGGGCAACTTTTTTTTAATTTTAAACAGCTTAGTTAGATGTGCTGTTCAGAGTTTCCCTTCATTGTTTTTCACACATAATGTATTCATAGTAAGTGGCTCTTCATCTTCTGCTAGTTTTAGACACCAGTGATATGTGTCAGTGAACTAGCCTGTTAATTCGATGTAAACAAAAGTGGAAAAATTGTATTTTTATCGTAAACATTTCAACAGTGCACGGCAACAGTTTATGTCCATACTAGAACTAAATCTTCGAAATCTAGATACAGACCTAAAAAAAAAGAAGCTTTATTCTGTACAAATTGGGTTACATGTGTACATGTACATGTATGCCTACTTTGACACTAAAAAAAAAGTTCTGCAGAAAATTTGAAAATGAATTGCCAAAAATAAATGTCCAGTTTTGCAGGCCCCTGCTGTGGCTTTCATCAATCCAATCCCTCGTGTTGAATTATTTATGCCCTGCTTAGAGTATTTGTATTCATGTTTATTCTATCAGAACTCATGAAACATGGGTTAGTAGTACTTTCCATTGTGTCCTATTGTAACAGTCAGAAAAGTGCAGAGGGAAGTTTTCTTTATATCCACTGTGCCCCGTTTCATGGGAAAATGTTAAAGTTATAATGCTCTTCAAACTGGAACAGGTTTTTTTTTTTTTTCTGTATTGTTGCGTCCAATATTTTGACCTTTACTTCAAAGGAAAATGCTACACAAAAAAAAAGAATTCTGTTCAGTGCACTTTTACAGGTAGGCCTACCGCTACACCTCCGCTTGATCTATTGTAGTCTGAGCTCTTTAGGGTGGCGAGTGGGAAAGCACATTCATCACTGTAAAAAAAAAGTTGTGACGTGTCTGCACTCTGCAGAAAATGTGAAGGAATATGGCGGGACAATTTTGTGTGTGACAAAGTATGTTCAGAATATAGCGAACAAATTTTGTTGTATTTCAGAGTTTGAGTGTTTATGAAAATTAAGATGAAAAGTTAAGGAAGAAAGCAAGAGCATGAAAGCAAGTGGCAACTGGACAAGAGCGAGAAAAAAAATCATTGCAGTTAAATGGTTTTTTTTTTTCCCTTGAATTTAAAACATTGCTTCGAACTATGTTGTGGAATTTCTTCCTCGAAACATCAACACCCTGAAAACAAAATGTGACCTGTCTCCATGAATCGAGCATTAAAATGTAAGTCAGAAATAGCCATTTTAAAGTACAGGGGGGCAGAACCAGAATTTGAAGGGATTTTTTTTTTTTTTTCGTTTTTTTTTTGTGGTGCACCTCAATCTGTAATCCTGATTTCTACTTTTACCAATTGTTTTTTTCTTATCAAACATTTAAAAAAAACATTTTCATCCCCTTTTGTAAGTTGACTGTTCATTCACTGTTGTACAACAGAAGGATTTTTTAAAAGTCATTTTTCTCAAAAATTTAATGAAATTACAACTTCAGTTTAGTTGGCAGTCTATATTTCCATTTCTGAACTCAGTACCCTGTACTACGGTATACCATTAGAAAGATCTTGTTCTGCAGAATCCAGAAATATAAATATCTCAAGTTTTAAGAAAGTCCAACTTAAATGCTCATTTTGTGATTATGGGGTCACAAATAAACTCTTCCATTTTGAATTACTGCTTTTTACAAATGTACTGGGAAGGGAAAAAAGTTGGAAATCTTCAAGTACAATGTACTTCAAAACTGAAGGGCGATTGCTACCAGTTTCTGCAGAAGACAGTTGGATGAGGTGATAGACTTCACGCACAGTACTATTTGCTAACTAAACATGGTGAAGTCTCTCATCAGTCATGGTCCTCATCCAGGAAGTCTGGCATCCTTGACACTCATGCACTGTGCACACAATATAAGGTGTGAACACTGTCTATACAAATAGACAGTGTCAACAAGGTCTTGACTAGTCAGTAATTGTAGGAGATTGTGTGTGTATAAACAAATGTCTTGAGTCCATACAAACCTCTGTTTGTAGCTAGTTAAAGACCTTTTGTTATAATATTTGCTTTAGTAATAACCGCAGGTCTACTGTAACACTATAATGACATGCAGTGTAACACTGCCTTGAACTTTGCCAGTTGAAACACGGTTGAAATTGCTTCAATTATTTTGCTTATTCCCATGAAGTTGTACTTATGGGAGCTTGTTTCAGCAACAAAAGGCAGCCTGTTTTTATAGTAATTTGCTAAGTTCAGAATCAACCTGTTCTGTAAATTGCATTTTTTTTTTACCCAAACCTAATCAACGCAATGCATTTTCCTGACTGACCTTGCTCTGTTGTATTAAAGCTGAGGCCCCTGGATGGCAGTAATGATATGCAAATTTTCATGGCATTTGAAAATGCATGATGTGCACTGCAATTGAACTAGTGTTCTGCTTAGGTCAGAAATTTGATTTTAAAACAGATCTAGTATTGCTTCATATACATTTGTACTACTGTACACGAAAATTGCGGGAAAATATGTAACACAAAGAAAGGATCATATTTGTTGAGTCATTAGTTTGATACATACAACATATGACATTCGAAATTTGATCTCTGTTAGATTTTTTCTTATTAATCAGAAAATAATTTCAATATTTATTTTTCTCTTTTTGCAGGCCGAGCAAGGAGGCACTATACAATCCAGGTAAATTTGATTTGAATATGAATTTAACTTACCAAATTAAATTGTGTAAAATTACTCCATTGACCTTTGACAAGACCTGTTGCCCTTTTAAAGATAATACGATATATTTCACTAAATTTCAAACATTTAAAGACTGCTGCATTATTTTCGTATACATAATTTTTTTATGGGGGGGGTGTTGTATTTATAAGTATGTATCCCCCTTGGCCTATAACCCCTTCTCCCAAACATGTATCCCCTTTGTAAATTAGACAATGGGAAATGGATGTTAGCCTGAGGTCTGATTTAGTTCAAATTGTAAGCATGGACTCGTACGTGTACCGATAGGTAGCAACCCCAGTCAGAGACAGTTTATGGTCTGTGCTTATCTTTGCATGGCTAGGGAAGCAATAAACACTATGTACATGTACACATAGTTGTAACAACAATGAGCTTATCAAGGACAAGGTACCTAGACGGTTTTTATTAACTTTTTTGAATACATGAATGTACTGCATGCACAGCACGTCCCAAAATACCTGCAACTTTTTTGCGAAGCTCTAGCACCGGCGCGGAAAACACGTACCGCCAATATTTTTATACCATTTTAAAGCATTAAATCTTAACTTTATCCCTGGCGCGTATTGGTTTGATATTTAATACACAAGTAGTATTAAAATTATTCGTGTTCAAATAAAGGCATGTCGAAAACGAACTCAAGCAATTTCAAGGAAAATCGATGATGCAAACTCGAGTCACACTTTGAACGCGCTTTTTGAATAGGTACATACTTGCACGTGAATTTCAAACTTGAACTTGAAACGAAGAACAAGATTGTGAATTCGTTTAAGGTGTAGTCTACGTGGATCAAACAGAATAGGAAACACAGAAAGAAAAAGGCAACAAGATCGTCACATCATGAACGTGATGAATCTACATTAGAAAAAAATTTGCATGACTGATTTTTCTTGAAATCGGTTGAGTTTGTTTTTGACATGACCTTATTTGAACATGAATCATTTCAAAACCCTTTTGAAAATCGAACAAATACTTAACCGTGGATAAAGTTAAGATTCCAAACTTAAAAAATGGTATAAAAATAATGGCGGTACGTGTTTCCGCGGCGACGCTAGAGCCTCGTAAAAAAATGTTGCGTGTATTTTGGGACTTGTTCTTACAGTTGTGTACTTGATAAGAAACTGAGATCAATTCTCAATATATTTGGTGAATGCATCTTAACATTGACCTAATTTCAGTATTTAGGCAGCTCTTGCATAGAATTAAACTTTCTATCTCCACCCCTTTAAATTGAATTGTACTTTCATTTCATTTACAGTGTAATAGTTGAAGGGAATACCAGGGAATATTTGTGTAATTGTCATGTACTGGTAGATGTAGCATTTTTTATACAGGTAGAGCGAAATACAGTATTGAATGTGTGAGTGTTTAAACAAACGTGTATGTATTTCACATGGAAATTGAAAAGTAGCGAGAAAAGAAGAGAGAAAAAAAAGCCAATCACTTTTATGACCCATTAAGAAGGAATCACCTTGGATGTGAATTAAAACAACAGCACACGTGTATGTACTCTGAGAGCAAACTAATTAGGGCAGCCATATAGGCATAGAGATGTAAGTAGTTACGTTGCAAATGAAAAGATTAGTCTTAATAATGCCACACTGGCCTTGACATTTATGAATGCAAAATTGTAGCTTTCATTTAGTAAAAGCGTCAAGCTTCAGTGGGTGTGGCCATCAATGCAGCATATTGAAAGAAAACAATTTAACTGATGAGTTTCTAAGAAATTTATTTTAAAGCTATCAATTCACTGTACTGTAGAGCTTCAGAGTTATTTTTTGCTTCAAATTTTGTTTATGCAGATTGGAATCACTTATCGGCTGTTTTTCTGGCCTTAAAGGGTTTATTTTGGCATTAATTACATTTGTTTCATAGTGGCAAATGCACATATTGATACATATATACACAATCAAAATCTGCTTAAATTTCAAAATGTATAAGACATACATGTATTTATATATTAGGAGTTTAACTACTGGTAGACCTATTGATCGCAAATTAATTTTTTTTCCCACCACAAGTGACTGGATGATATTTGGGAACCATGTTTTCACGCATAAAATCACACTTGAAATAATTGGCTGTTCACATACCAGCATCTTGTATACACAATCCTTGACGGTTGATGTTTGACATTGTTTGAAGGTGACTATTGCTAAAAACGTGTCAGTCGGAATATTTGCTCCACTTTTCAATACGAAAGGTTGAAAAGGTCAATTCCATATAAAAAATAAAACTGCAAACTTTCAACCCTCATTTTTTTTTAACCTTGAATCCCTAGTGTATTTTACTAAGTACTGGACCAAGTCTGCCAAAATCTATCACTGACCCTGCTTCACATAATGCTTCAGGACCAAATCCACTGAAATCCACCACAAGACCACCACTACTATAGTAGGTGGATTTTGATGGACTTGGTACTCATGGCTTGCCTACCAAAATCCCCAAAATGGGGGAATGGATTTGGCAAGGATAGGGTTAATGTAGTTTTGGAAATTAATTAATACTGAAAGTTGACAACACTTTGGTTCAAGTGAGAATATTTAGAACATTTCAAGGGTTCTGATTTCTGAAATCAGGAATGAGTGTGGTGTGTATTTTCTTACCAAAATTTAAAAATAAAATGCCAATGCATGGTTTCAATATTGGAAGGACTTTTGTGGACTTGCTCACTGGTACACATAGACATGCGTCGGGTACATACAGAGTTTTTCTGACTTCACTTAGCGACAACAGAGATTCTGTTTTGACTTATCAAAATTCATTTTGTGACCTTTTGAGTAAACAAATTGCCAAACTCAGATAACAGTGACAAAGTACAAAAAGAGGAAAAAAACACTATTCTCTCGTCGCTGCAATATTTCTGATTCGAGAAAGGAATCTAAATATTTCTTATCAACGTGATAGAATCCGATATCAGTATTCACGCTGCTACTATTCTGTCAATGAAATTGGACAAAAAGTGTGTGTATTCAGCTGCTAGAAAACACCATTCGCCTTTCATATCTCTCTAAAAATCACTACTTGCCCAAACCTCCCCACAGATATTTTCCCTGCCGTATTTCAATGAGTTATTGATCATGCTGCGCGTTTCAAAGTCTCTGTGTACACTTTCTTTTTGGACAAGCAGATTGTATCGCTTGACTGAGCCCAGCAAAACTCCTTCGGAATGCCCTCTGAGGAGAATGCTTTAATAATACAGGAAATGACAAAGAAGGGAGGGATCGAGTAAAGCTGCAAACTTGTACATAAGAAACGTGGGAACTCTCTTATTACAATGTAGGTGGACCTTCAGGTTCCATTCTGCACTTTTGACCCCATTTAACCCTAACCTCTTGGGTATATTTACTAGAAAGTATCCTGAATCCGCCAAAATCCATCAATTTTGCCATGCACAAAAAAATGGTGGCCAGTGAGTCCATCAGAATCCACCAGTTAGGTGGGAGTAAATCTGTTGAGATCCTGAATCCGCCAAAGTCCCCCAACTGCTCAATATGGAGGTATCCTGAATCCATCAAAATCCTGCAGTCCCACTAGGCTTGCAATCCTGAATCCATCAAAATCCCCCAGTTTGTGCAATATGTAGGTATCCTGAATCCACCAAAATCCCCCGAAACGGGTGTGAATTTTGATGGATTCAGGTACATTAGGGTTAAAGGAAAACCTCCAATTTAATAGAACACATTGAATTAAACATTCAAAAAAAAGTTTGTCTTTCATTCCATAGTGTTAAACAACCGACGGACTGTAAAGCACTAAAAGCAAGTCCCACATTTCGCCATGTAGACTCATACAGCGAACCAAATGAGAAGTCATTGCCATTCTATTGTGGAACCAAGTCTATAAGGCTGCATACAAGTCACACGAAGTGGAGTTGTGCGCACATGTTATACCCTATTGGTCAAAAGAACAGTGAGTGCATGCATACCACTGTACGCGAGTATCATGGGTAGGAGTGCTTTACCCCTCCAACCCTCGGTGTAATAGTTGGTGGCAGAATAAATACGGTAGTTTGGACTTATCCACTGTAGGATGTGCCCACAGGCATGCACAGTACACAGTTCAGTGTTCTTATATCGTGCTGTACAGTGAAGGGCAGTGTCATGGAACCCGACTAATAATATAATTTGCATGCAGTGGGTCCGACCTTGAAAAAGGTCCCTGCTTTGGAAAGTTCCATTTTATTTGTAGGTGCAACATATGTTCAGACCAGAGTTTTCATTTGCATAGCAGAGTGCAGTAGGATTTCATATGTACAATGTACATGTACCGGTGTAGCATGAATTTAGGTTTTATGAAATACGGACTTATTGGTGGTATTGCGCATGCTCATGCATAGATAATTAGGAAAGGGACCGGTCACGTGAGAGGGTTTAATTAACCAATAAAAGGGAAAAAGAGTCTGATTTTCATACGAGTCCGATTTTCATATATGACACCGGTACTACCAGTACATTTTTTCCATGTTATTTGTCAGAATGACACTTAATACAATGAGTTATTTAGCATTATTCAAATATTTATTTAATGAAATACTAATGATTTACTAATGATTTACTAATGATTTACTAATGATTTGAAAGCAGATATACAGGTACAAGGCCAACGTTCAGACGCTGAATGTCTTTAATAAAAGATGCAATTGTAAATAATTTTAAAAGGGAACTAATGTTATTTTTAATTAATGAGGGAAAATAATTGATTCCAAATAGGACACAGATGCAAGCAAGTGCTCCGTTAGTGCAAACAAAATAGCAATGAATATGATAGCTTCGACAACTTGTTTCAAGTCCAGCCAATGAATAGTGACCCAGGACCTTAATTTCTCTGAACAGCCCTGGACGTTGACTATCCTATGACAAGCTATAGCTCCTGATTTGAATGATTAGCATTGCATGGCTAATGGAAGTTCCAAATGGCTTCTGATCTCTCAACCATAGAGATGATAGAGCTATAGCTTAGGGTATTGCATGCATATACTGCTGTATTGTGGAGACTGATATCCATTTCAGTATCTTCGGTCAGGAAGGAAGTCATTATGGTTATGGTCATTAAAGATGCATTCGCAGAAACGGCAGAATTCTCCATTGACTTCTGTGATTTTTTGTTTAGATTTTCATATATGACGGTCAGTTGTTATGAAAAAAAAATCACATATTTATATGTTTTCCTATTTGTTAAATTTTTTTTACTGCACAAGTTAAAAGATAACAAAAAAAGTATTTTGGTCCTTTAAATGTAAAATATTTTGTAGTAGTCCTTGGTACGAGGCCTTTTTTTTTGCTTGCCACGCGGTCTGGTTCGCCGAATTTTATAAAACTTCACAGACATGTAGATAATGGTGTACCATATCAAAAAAACTTTGTTCCCCGATCCACAGTTTGTTTGAAAATGAGAAAATCTGGGATAAAAACGCTGAAAATTCTACATATTTCGCAGAGTTTCATGTACATGTACATGAACCTACATTGTACTTGTAGGGAGAAACTTATTCTAAACAGGTCGGGTGGTACAGGTAATTTAAAAAAAAAAAATATAGAAAATGATTTACTCTTTTTTTCCCATTAAGCTTAGTTCCAACAAAAGAGCATTTTGGGGCGTTCCACTGACGCTTAAAACCACGCATACTCTCCACGAGATATATACATGATGCACGTTCCTTATATCAAATGCAGTCCTACGTGTTTCATGTAATTATGGGTTTTTATTGCCTGGCTCAGACAGTACACGCATGACTGGCCAAGCGGCCAACTATTCATCCTCAAACTTACACGTGATAAGAGTTAACTTGCAAGTCTGGATACACCAATATTTGGTATGTCTATGTATAAATTGTCCCTCTGAAAAATGGAGATACTTGTAGAATGGAAAACTCCAAGCCTGAGCATAGCCAGAGGGGTTTTTTTTTTTGGTTGCCTGGCTGTCATAAATTTTAATCCAGAATTTTTGTTCGGTCACATGGCCGTCACAAAATAAAAAAAACAGACAGTATTTGGCATTATTGGACAATTCGCTCTTTTCACACTCTGCCATTGGGCATGCACAGCCTCGATCTTTACACAATAAAAATAGCCGGTTCAGTGATCTGAACCCCGACACGGGAATCACTGAATCACCGGCTATATTTATTGTGTAAAGTTACCTGATCAAGGCTCTGCATGCCCATGGCGGAAGTGTGAAAAGAGCGAATAGATTGGACTGTGTGAACATTGCGGTATATTTGTGAACCAACACGAATAGAAATACCTAAGTATATTGCTTTCCAATGGAAAAGCAGTAGTGTCGTCCAGGCAGCTCCAATGCTTTGGTCTCTGAACTGGAAGTTGTGAACATAAAAATTATAAATCAGCTTCTCTTTCGGCCTTAGCTTTGCCCTTATCCTTCAAAATCCTCCTGGAGATTTTGAAGGATTGCAGAGCCCAGCAACTCTCAAAGACTTCACATGGGGTTTGATGGTGGTTCTTTGCACATGTGCTTGATTTTCGAGGATTTTTGAGGATTCATGAAATTTTCAACAGAAAATGGGTCATTGTATTAATTTGGGGTCCATTGTCTTTTCTTGTACCTGTTACATCTGACAAATTCTGAAGCACTATCTAATGCAGTCGTCCTCAAGACTGATTATGAATAGCAAACTACATGTACCCGACAAATTAAAAAAAAATGTTTGAAGTCATTCTTAGTGATATTTGAATGGCAAAATACAAAGTACCAAAGTATCAGGGACAGGAAAAATGGCACACTTTATGGACACTAAATTCAAATGCCTGTATATGTACAATGTAGGGTTATACATGTACATTGTACCTTGTACAAAGATGCATGGATCCCGGATCCTGTTCTATATCATACGATCTCTGTGGATATTTCTGGATTGTTGTGTGTGTCCTTTTTCCCAGTATTGATCACTCAAGTGTCTGAAATACAAATCAATAGCTTCAATTGATCGTTTGGCATCTTTCCCCCAACCATCCGTGACCATTGACAAAAATCAAATCGACTGTCGGCTAAGCTACGTTACAGACTCTATGTATGAACATTTATGTACATGTACATGTATGTAATTGCACACTATGTACCCTTAACATGTTAAAGGCTGAGCCGATTTCACAAGATTTATTTTTTTCAAGACAATATCTATTGAGAATTTTGTTGGGTGTAAGTTGATATATTTTTTTATTTTATTTTTTTCAACGCATGATTTGCTTAGAATAACATGTGCTGAAACACTAGAACTTCTGATATTTTGTTACACTGTAAACAATTTATATATTTCATTCTGTACTGGACTATAAAAACAAATAGAGCTGATAGTATTTCACAAGTTGTGAACAGCATTTTTTTTTATTTCTTAAACATACATTGGATAAAAATTTTTTATAGAAGTTAATTTGTGGAAAATCCTCATGGCATTAAAAAAAAATCATATTTGTATTTTATTTTTAATTTATGCGTACTAAGAGAAGAGTTAGGGAATGTCATTTAGTCTTAAAGCTGTGAAAGTTTGTTGCTTATATTTTTGTTCGTACAGTTTTATTCAGTCATAATTTCATGCCATTGTTGCGTTGAACATTTTCAAGAAAAAGTTGTGGAAGCATTTGAATTTATTTAAAAAGCATTTGAATATATTAAAAAACAACGTAGTTGAATTTTTAAAAATAGATGAGAAAAAAAGTTGGACAATTATTAGTTATCCATTACAGCCTTTGAGGTGGAAGTTCTAATGTATTGATCATAGCCAAACATTTCAGGAATATAAAAGGTAAAAAAAATCAGCCTGAGAAATGGAAAGGAGAACCTTTTAAGTAGGTTGTGTAAATTCTGAAAACCTGAACCACTGGGATTTGAACCACAACCGCCTAGTTAAATGATGCGGAAGCTTTTGCAGTATTAACCTGATCTCGCTCCTCGGTCTCATTCAATTGACAACTGAAGTGTGGATGAGAGTATCAAATCTCGTGTCATTAGATGTGACAGGCTGGTTGATCTCTGGGCTGAAAATGGCCAGCAGAGTGTCAAGTGCATACAAGCGATGTGTTAGCAAACTGATATTAAAGTCACACTGTGCGTAGTCCAGACAGCCCTGTTGTGTTGAAACCTAGTAAGGCCAAAAGAAAAAAAAGGCTCCGGTTTCTGGTCTGCGCGCGCATCGCCGTAGCCATGCACGTCGGCAAAATTAAACAGTTTTTTTTTTCAATGTAAGTTGATGTCTCAAAACCGTCAAACTCACAGGTTTGACTGGAATCCTGCTGCTGCACAATTTTAATGTGTTTTTAGATTGGGGTTACGGTCGAGTATAAGCTTTATGTGGCCTCTCTGGGCTCCCATACATTTTGCACTAAATTAAGTCGTGCACCATTTGCAGTTATCAGCCGACATTTGACCAAAAAAAACACACACAAAAACTCGTCGCCGCACCACTTTTGGGGCAAGCTCCATACCAGAAACTGAAGACTTTTTTTTTTGGCCTAAGCAGGCAAGATGGATCCAGTGTGGACATGGTGGATGAAATTACAATTTTGTCTGTTTCGACTTGAGTGTTTACTTTATTTAAAAAAATGGACACATACATTAAATGGCTTCATGATACAATATACATGTATTTGGTTTTTGGAAAGTAACTTTTAGTCACAACACGTTATATGCATCTTCTTTCTTATTGTTTCATTTGATACATGTTGTTGATTGATGTGGGGAGTTCTTTGGGAATGGGGCCGTCAAGTTTTCAAATGTGTACAATAGAATTATTTTTAATGACCAGCAACACAGGTTTCTTGATATCTTTAAAAAAACAAAAAACTTGTAAGAACATAAATAGAAGTATGACTAAAATTTCAGCTTTACATCATAAAAAAATGCTTGACTCAAAAAGATATATTTTAAAATGAGCCATTTTTTTTTGTTTTAGTCACTTCTGGCCCCTGTAAACATACCCTACTACTTTTGCATACCAGTATTATAGGCAATTCCAGAGTTATGTGATGTCCCTGACAGTGCTTTTAAGAGCTCAGCGAATAAACCCGAAAATGCAAGTTTCAAATCTTATACATCCATCATTTAGTGATGGCCAAAGGAGATTACAGACTGAATCATTTATTGGATATCATGCTTGATTGGCTCTGTCACAGACATTACACTTCGTTTCATAACGTTGGAATCGCTCACACAATTACTTGTTCCGTAGTTGTGAGGACATACATGTACATTGTACACCTGTCTGTACGAGGTATTTGTGGGGACCAGAAAACGCTGTGGGGATAGCAGAAAGTCCCCATAACTCGGTCCTAATTTGCCTAACAATAAAAAACTTCCCCAAAACACGATGTAGGCCTGCACATGTGTATCAGGTGTCGGGCTACAACTGTGCCATAATTGCTGCTAAAAATTAACGTATGAATTCACTGAAGAATCTATTTCTTTTTTTGTATCTGACACAGATGAAGGATGGGTGCGCATTTACATGAGGGGGCGCCCGATCACCATGTTCATGCCCACGGAGGCGGGAGACTTCTCCGTCAAGGCAAAGCAAGAGCCCCCAGCTGAAAAGCTCAAGCTGGAATGGGTGTATCCTTTTCATCCCCATGGCTTTCAAGCCAGACAGGGGGATATTGCGATCGCGTATTCCTTCTGTGTGTCCGTGTATCTCTGTGCGTTTGTTTATGGTGTAAATCGAGGACACACACGTGCAGCATCATCGTTGAATCGAGGACAGGAAAATCAAGGACAACCTCGATTAGAAAACGTGTACAAAACCAATGAGAACTGTTGCGAAAAAGTTATAGTCCAAACAAAGGAAAAGGGAAGAGGAACGAAAGAAAATCCTTGATTTACACCATAAACAAACGTGTGTGTCTGTGTGTGTGTGTTCCAGTTCACTGTAAGTTCAGTCTTCAATCTCAACCAAACTTTCCAATATGGATCTTTACGAGGTCTCTGGTGAGATACTAATGACCCTAAGATATATGTTAGTCCAGTGTCTCGCCCAAACTCCCCATTCAACTGACAACTTTCAACCCAAACTGCCCATTCAACTGAGAACTGGTACCTGCCGGATGGACAATCAAGGCAGTCACTGAAAATTGTCCTTACTAACTGCCTGTACATGTATACAAACTGCCAGGATGCCAGGGGGATCGCGCAAGTTTTACGTGCAGTATTTTTATAAAAAGATTTCTATAAAAAGAATAAATAAAATTCAAACCAAATTCTGGCTGTTTGACGCTGCTGCAAATTCGAATCCATTTAACACCAGCTGCAGGTTCTAGTTTATTTCTAGGTTGCCTCCAAAAATGGATTGCATGTAGTTTTGATTTTTAAAGGCATTTAGGATCTTACAATGTACTTTAATGCATTTTGTTTGTTTCCAATAATACAACCACTCAAAATGCAAGAAGAATGTTCAAAACCTCAAACATGTTGAAGTTTCTGCTCAGTGGATACTTTTTGAGACAATCAAGAAAAACCATGCATAACGTTTTGATTACGAAACACAAATTCATCGATAGCACTCTGTATTTCCAAAAATCAGTCAACTGACTGGTTGTTGGGAATCACCTACACTTCTTGATTTCTTCTCAAAGACAGCAATTCAGACGGAACAATTTCACAGGGTGTTTAGTACCGGCACAATCATTAATCCAAGTGAGCTTTTGATAATAATTTGGTAGGTTATTTTTGGAACAAATGCAAACCATCCTGCTAGTATATGCCAACATTTTTCCCATTTTGGTCATGATTGGTTGAAAGCCCTTCAAAATGGGTCCAATCCATGTAAACCTTAACCCTAACTCCCTACTTAGTTTTTCTAAGTAGAAGACCATGTCCGTCAAAATCCATCACTCACTCTGCTTCACATAATGCTTCTGGACCAAATCCATTGAGTTCCACCACTGGTGGTGGTGGATTTTGATGGACTTACTTGGTACACATGGCTTATCTGCCCAAATCCCACAAAATGGGGGTGGATTTTGATGGAGTTGGTAAGGTTAGGGCTAAGGCATCAATTCTATTTAAGCTTGTTTAAGTATAGAATGCCGTATACACTTGTGTTGCTAGTTTGACAAGTCCGATAGTTATGCTCTAATTGAACACTCGATAAGCAACTTTCCGAGGCAAGATTTTCTTTAACCTGCTGGAAACAGTTACGGTTACAGAGGGAAAGACTGCCGCACCAACCTGCACATATTGCCAACAGGTGATATCGTCTACTTCATGGCAGCCGTGGTCATCCTGCACAACGTGCAAGAGAACACCCAGAGACACTACATGGGCCACAATGACGACGTCAAGTGGTAAGTTGGACAGAAGCAGATTGCAGCAATATTGCGTGAGTGGATCGTGTTTGCTCGTACCCACCTCCTTATCGAAGGTCTTTGGTGAGCTCTTGGTTTTTGAGCTCTCGATGGCTGATTCTGTTTACTCGGTGATCAGGGTCAACCCACGGGCACAGAATGTACGTACTTTGGTAATGACAAGTGACCTACATGTACATGTATCCACCGTGCTTTGCGACGGCTGCTTTTCCTTCACAGGAATTAGTGAAAGTCAAATGAACATCTGATCCCTTAAATTTTCATTAAAAGGCCATTTCTCCGTGAAAGGAATTTTAAGTGATGTTTCACGAACATTTGGGGTCTATATAGGACTAATCCTGTAAAGGTATTTTCACGTTTTTTTAATGACCCTGGCCACTGAGGATTATCATTGGTTATAAGTTATGTATATCTATCTCCATGGGTAAACAAAAGGACTTTCTTAAGGGTGTTTTCACAGACTCCTAATCTGGCTTAATATGGTGAAAAATCCGTGAAAATTTAGTTAACTGTAATTTCAAGGGAAAATCACTCTTAACAAATTTTTAAGGGATAAAGATGTTCATAGTACTGTATCCCTTATGCACTGGCTCGCATGTGTAGGCCAAGCAGCACCATGTCTGTGTGGAGTGCTGTGGCCTCTTGGTTGAGGGCATTGGATTCGTGGTCTGCGGGTAAAGCTCTAGGTTGTGGGTTCGAGTCCAGCCTGGGGCCATTGTGCGTGTGTCCTTGTGCAAGGCACTTTGTCACTCATTGCTTCTGTCCACCCAGGAGTAAATGGGTACCTGTGACAGTAGAGATCGTTAGTGTGGTTGATTTAAGTTGCTTTGCGCCTATAACAGGCAGCATTGAGCTGTATACTCCCCAAGGAACTGAGATGGTAGGAATGTTTCATGGGCTTAATGAGCAGGGGTAATAATGATGTAGTGCATTGAGCACCAGTCCTGATGGATATGTGCACTTTATAAATACGATTATACGTGTAATGGTACCATTAAGGAGACACGTTATTATGCACGATGGGAGACATCGGTCATGAGGGAGACATTTTCATGTCTCCCTAATGTCACAGCCCCCATTTAAAGGCACAATTTTTTTTTGTCGCAATTAGGTTATATTTGTTGCTCGTGGTCTAATTACATGTAGTTAATATACCGAAATTCGTGGAAAAAGGACAATGGAATATTGGGCACATTTAAGTTTGAAAAATGTTGTGCACAAGTGTATGGGGATGTCTCCCAAATGTCCAATCCAGGGTAATTATTATTATTATGTCAGATCCCGTAAACCAGTACTTGTATTAGATTATTTAGACTTGACAGTTTGTCCTCAGACTGACTTATAACATTAGCTGACCATATGCAGCCATGCCACAAAAGAAATCTCCATGGAAATAAGTAAACTTAACTGTGTCTCTTAAAAGAGATCGTAAAATTATGCCTATTTAATGAAAGATGTATAAATAGCGTAGTACCTGTATTATGCCAGCCTAACACTATTCTGTTTGTTGTTTTTTGTTTACAGTATTGCCATTCATCCAAACACTGTGACCATAGCATCTGGACAGGTTGCTGGCCATGATAAGGACGAAGGCAAAGTAAGTCACTAAGCCAGCACATGTACTATATTTCACCGATTCCAATTTAAAATAGAGCAAATTGTTAGCAATGGCCAATTTTCTGGCTCATTTTGCAGCGGGGAGCGACAATCGAACCGAGACCATGTGGCTGGGCACGAAGGACAAAGGCAATTGACCATTATCATATTGCAGCCATTTTGAATTTTTCCCATTCAAATCAACTTAACCAAAGCGAGGCTGGAAGAAAAATAGTCTGGTTCCTTTTTGAAAAAAATCATTGTCATTCAGTACTGTTATTGGACACAGCAAACATGACTGAAATGGTGGCAACGTGATAAAGGTCAATATGGGGCAGGTATTTTGCCCATTCCCGTCCAAAAAGGCAGGGAGTGAAGAATTAGCAAAAATGACGTCACGCTTTGTTTACTTGTGCGCTTTTCTATGGGAGCCAGATGGGGATGAGATCCACCTAGCTCCCATCGGATATGCACATGTAAGCAAAGTGGTGTGACGTCATTATGATTCAAGCCTATTCTTAACAATAATAATAATACTACTACTAATAATAATAATCTTATATAGCGCCAAATCCTTCAAAACGACGTTCAAGGCACTTAACATTCATTAAAAATAAAAATGAAAATAAATTAAAAACATGAAGAACCTTTCTAATCTACATATTGTTACAAAAATATTATTAATAATAAAGTAATATCAATACAATTACATTAACACTAAAACCTAAGAGCAAAAGTAATCAAGCAAAAGATACATATACCACAAAGTAAAAAATATGGCATATGAGACACCTACACATTAAATATAAATATTTGTAATGAATGATAAAAATACAATAAAAATTTAAGAATGTGACAAGTATACAATAACAAGACCATAATGGGGCAGACAAAAACCAACCAAAACTGATACAAAAGGAAGACCTATCAACAGACCCACAAGTAAAAGACAGATGACAGCCCGGGAACAAAATATGGTTCTATTATTCTTCTATTTAACCCATTAGCACCTGTACTACATGTACAGTGTATTTTTTACAAAGTATTTATTCACTGAAAAATCAATAAAACCATAAAGTGCCTTAGCGGTTTCGGGCGCTACAGTGAGTAATAGATGGGGCTGTTTCGGGCGCTACAGTGACTAAAGTTTGAACTAATACCAAAAGGTGGAGAAAGATACTTTGTGAATGTCATATAAAATATTGCTTGGCCATTCTGGAATTGTTTGGAATGAGCACGCTGGGTGAGACCCTTACCAAAACCTCTACATTGCACAATTTCCTCTTAAATTTTTAGCCATTGTAAACGATATGTTTTCATCGCGAAGCGTGCATAATTGTGCATTCTTCCTCGGCCACCAAAGGCAACAAGCTTGGTTCCGAAACAGATATTAAAAAATTCTTGTCATTTTCTGAAAACCGCTTACGCGTATAAATTTGCCCTGACTTGACTGATGTCTTGAATCGAGGTCAACCACAGTAAATTGCTTCGAAGGTTTCTGTGCTGTCTTCATCAGGCATAACAGATTCAGCCTTCATAAAAAAACCTGACGGAACAATAGATCTTCCCTTGCGTTTATGGACAGGCATTTCCTCTCATCCTTTTTTTGGTCATCATGAATGCAGTTTTATTATTGATTTATCTATTGCGCATGCTATTCTGAGCTGAGTTTCATTAAACGGTGTACATGGAGGCTAATGGGAATTTATGCACATCCTGTTTCAATCCGAGTGTTATAGCTCAGTCTGATTCAATCCAATTTATAAAAAGAAAAAAATCTTGAAGTTAAATTTTTGTTAAAAAAACAGATACAGTGAAATCTCGATTGGTCAAATCTCAAGGGAATGAATAGAAAATTTGAGATATCCAAAGATTGAGTTACATAAAGTTCCCAATTTTTCCTAATGTTTCATGTCTAATGTACATGAATGGCTTTCACCGTATCTCGCTTGCCTTACACGAAATTTGGCTCACTTTCCTTCCTTTTACTGATTTTAGTGATGTGATTTTCAATCACAAATAATCATTTCTTTTTACCTAAACGTGTCTGCGCTTATGATAGATATAACAATAAACCACTCAAACTGCGCATTAACTTGATGGAGCAAATCTTTATTTCGTGTCGTTTGTCGAGTCTCTAGTGACCGTGCGATATCGACTTAACCGAGTTTCCGATCCGAAATTTCGAGTTAGCATGGACATAACATGATTTGCTATTATTTCGACAGGGAAAAGTTCTTCCTTGATGACTGGGTTTTCAAGTTACCGGTTTTGACTTATCAAGATTTCACTGTATAATATTCTGTTTGTGCTATGTATCACATCTTAATGTTAATATGTCAAGCAATGCAAATTCCCTTTTACATGTACAAATAGCTCAAAACAAAAACTCTTTGATTATTCTGAATATCTTACTTTTTTTTTTTACGTAGCTTTTTTGTCTGTAAGATGAAAAGGAGACTGCGGCTAACATTAAAATACATTTATTCACTTTACAAGGCGAGTTTTTCAATTACATATAAAAGAAAACAAAATAGTCTCCAGCTTTAAACCTGACATAGCCTCAAATCTTATATCAATTTGTTCATCCGAATTGTTACACATCATTGAATTGCTAACGTAAATTTACTTTGAATATAAACCACTTGACTGCAAACCTGAGATGTGACGCATGGAAATATTGACCAGGAGTTGCCGGTGCTGAACCGGCCATCAATCAGTGTCGAGGTTAATGGTGCCTTGCGAAGAACTGGCTTGAGCATATTTAATGGATTGACCGGATTGACCGTAGTAGCCGTTGATTATGCGGATCCGCGCTGATGTAAATACATTTGTAGGTGGGAAGATGGGTAGACACATGATAAAATATTTGGCCTTGCTAAGTTGATCCTCGAGCAAAACTCTAAGTTGCTTACAAAAACAATTTGTCTTGCAACTGGGACATTGTTTGCTCAAGATTAAACAATAAGCAGTCAGCTGTTGTGTAAATAGATTGATTTGTAAGCCCCAAAAGTGTTTACCCATGCAGGTATGGGACATCATTGAAGTAGGCCAAATCACTTGGCTGTACGCCTGACAATCACACGCAGGCCTGTAGGAAGCTCAAAATCATTGGTCAGGCTTATGTCAGAGGCAGGGAGCTTGATCAAAAGACATGCGAGTGCGTAGCGCAAAGCCTTTACGGCGTGGGGTTCGGGGCCCGCTTGAGGGCCCCGAAAATGTTTGGATTCTAGACGCTCTGTTATGCAATCTTAGGCAATTTCTGCCCATTTTAACCACAATAAATTTATTGTTCGTAATTTGTACTAGACATATTTGGAGCTCTGCACAACTGCAAGGTTAACATGTATGTCACATGGTGAACTTTACATTTATGCTCTAAATAAATTATTCTAAAGACACAAATTTGACAGAATACAGTTAGCACCACAAACGAAGCACATTGGGAGGCAAGACATACTTGGCAAAACAAGATTGAAAAAGTGTGGGGAGGGGTCACAATTCAATAATACCAAAATAAAGAGTCAATCCTCGGTCAACTGGGTTAAAAAATAATAAGACCCTTTCATGTAGATCATTGCTTCAAATTTACTGTCTGATTGATCAGCATCCCCTTCAGGGCACACATCTCTGCCAAGTAGCTCCAAGATTGGAGCTTTATTACTCGCACTTAAATTTTTCTTCTGCACAAACTTCCCTCTGCTTCACATGCACCTTAAACTTCACCTCAGCGTTAACATCCAGAAGTGGACTTTGCTGAGTACCCATGTAGATGTAGATGTCCCCACGCAATGCAAGACCCTGTCTACATAAAAAAGGCCTATTTTTATTGGTACATCTATAGCCGTACCTGCCCTACCACTTCCTATGGCCATGCACACATGTAGATGGGAACCCGGCTTCAGCCACCTCCATTTGTGTAATTTCAAGCTGAAGCCAAGTAATTCGGGCACATCCTAAAAACAGATACATTGTGTACAAGGAGAAAAAAAGAAAGACATTTGTGAGGCGTCCTGGTAAAATGAGACGGAACTGGGCAGAAGTTGAAATGAGGGTTTGCAACTACTAGGAAAAAGAATCCAGTTCTCCTTACAATACTGCTTGTTGCACTTCAATCGGACATTCCGTTGACAAGTTATGGCTGTTTATAAGTTTGCATTTATCGACATGTCCACAAAGTAAGATACTGAGAAAAAGGCCTTTTAAGTTTTGACTGTGTTGAAGTCGTGAAAATGAAAATTGCCAATTTTTCCGTTTAAAAAAACCACACTTTTATTCCACTGTTTTAGTACTGTTTTTTTTTTTTAAATATGTGTAGTAGACATATCAAAGATTACAAATATCAGTAAATCTAAAACTGGAAGAAAGAAAAGATTACCCCTATTCTGTTTTTTGTTTTCTTCCGTTTTGTCCACTTAGGCCTGTGCCCAGTTCCGTCTCATTTTGGTAAAATTTTCTCACATTTGTCACATGGTACAACCGTAAACCGACTGCTTAATATGAGAAGAAGTGTGTTTTAGGAGATTTTCTATGACACATTCATGACAAGACGGGCACTGTGTAACAGATATCAGAACAGCTTGACTCAGTTGACTGCAGATTAATTTTGAACAGATGGATAAACACATTATGTAGATCATGAAACAGGTGTAATTGCTGTTATGGATGGTTGATTGGTTCTTTGCAGCCTCATGTGCGTATCTGGGACTCCGTCAACCTGAACACGTTGCATGTCCTGGGACTGGGATTCTTTGACAGAGCTGTGTGCTGCGTAGGATTCTCCAAATGTGTAAGTGTCTTCTTTTTCTCCATCTATCTCAGTTGTTATTTTAGAAGAACTGAGGGTTGCAGGCCAGTAAATCGGTCCGGAATTGCCTACGCCGGCCAAATCACGATTTGCATGCCCTCAAATTCTCCGGTATTGGAGCATTTTGAAGGCAGTGAACTTGATGATTTGTAAAAAAAAAAAAAAGTTGTGCATAGAAGCCGTGCATAGGATTGCAAGCTCGTATTTCTGTGAAATGTGGATGAAATTAGGCCCTAAAATGGCTCTATTTTGCTATGGTGGGTAGGCGTCCATTTTCAAAATGGCGATGTGCTTCGGGACTGCTTTTAGGGGTGATCATCTTCGGATGGAATTTTCTCCCAAAAGTCTTTGGTTAACCCCCAGATAATTGAACAAAAAATTGAAAGATGATGAAATATTTGATGCATGTCCTGAACACCTCAGAGAGTTGTGAGTATTTTTAATAGTTTTTCGGAAGTGCGCATACTCACCGCTAAGGTCTATGGCAGTCGATTTACTGGTCTGGACCCTGAGGGGAGAGAATGTAAAATTTCACCATAGCAAAAACATGACACGAGATTTAAGTCAAATATGCAGTGCTGTGTTGGTTTTTAGCTTATTGTTTAAAGGCATATAGGATCATTTGCATTTATCCCAAAGGTAATCTACCGAGTTATTATCAAAAAAGCTTTCTTGGATTAAAGATCCTACTGGTACTAATCACCCTGTGAAATTATGCCATCTGGCTTGCTGTCATTTAGAAGAAATCATGAAATGTAGGTGGTTGCCAACAATCAGTCGATTGATTGTTTTTGGAAATATGGACTGCTATAGACGAAATCGTGTTTTGTGATCAAAAGGTTGGGCATGGTTTTTCACTATTATCTCAAAAAGTGTGATATCCACTGAGCTGAATCTTCAGCAGGTTAATTAGGTTTTGAAAATTTGTTGGATTTTGAGTAGTGTTATTATTGGAAATGAACAAAATGCAAGAAATGCAAATGATCCTATATGCTTTTAAGGAAATGCACAATTCTTTGTACAGGTCTTGAATTTTCATTGTAGAGTACCACCAACTTCAGGCAAAAACAATATTACATGGAGACATAGAAGGGAAATCTAGGGAAACAGGAAGGGTTGTGGTAAACATGCTACTAGGAGAACATGAAATCATAAAATTTAAAAATGGGATTTTGTTTACATTGCTGTATGAAGCTAATTATGTCTTTTGAATTGGTTTGGGAATTTCATTGTCTAGGGTTGGCAGGGGATCCACTGTCTTACTTTTGTTGGACCTAAGCTGAAGTACTTCATGTTTTTACATTCTTGTGTAGGACAAAGGCGTCCAGCTGCTGGCTATTGATGACTCTAATGACCATGTCTTGTCAGTCTGGAACTGGGAAAAGGAGAAGAAACTGGCTGATTCCAAGGTAAAAGCGCATTCATACTCAACAGGAATGGGAATGAGAATGTGAAACAAGAGTAGCATCACAAATTATCAGGGGTGTGAAATCTCAGCTTTAAAGCTGATTTCAGCTTTTTTTGTTTTGGATTTCAGCTTTTTCCCTCACTTGCTGTGTACAAAAGTATAGGAGATTTCCAAAGTTCAGCCTTTTTTAAAAACCTTTTTCAGCTGTTTTCAGCTGTTTTTATTAGCGGTCACTCACACCCCTGAATTATACAATCCCCGTCATCTGATTGATGGTTCGTTGATCACATGTCATTGAATTATTCATCCAACTCATTGCGGGGCCGCACGGCGAAAAAAGAAGTACCATTTCATTTGGTTACAGATGAAATGTTCCAATCCACTCGGCTTTGCCCTGTAGAATGGAAAATTCCGTCTGTCAATTTAAGGAATGATTCCTACCATTGCACTCATAAACATTCATTATTTGTTTAACACATGCGACAAAATATGCCAGAGTTGGAAATAGGTTCAAGCTTTTTGTTAATTGGCGGAACAAATATTTGATGTGATGTCACATTTGCAATCATGTTTTGTATCCTGCTGAGTCGGAACTAACATTTAGGCAAAGTCACTCATTCAGTATTCTTCCAGACACCAGTGCAATATTTTGAAATGTTAAGATTGATAAATAGAATTATGAATATTCATCTACGGTATCTATCTATTGTGGTCTGTCCATAGGCAGGTTCTTCACATGGTGAAAGAATAATTGTACGTGACTTCCTACAAAATTCCATTCAACTTGAAATATCATTTGTGTAAAATCATCAAAGTTGTCGTTATCTCCAAACATCACAGATTTTAATTAATATTCATTAATGATTCATATTCACAGAATTTCCGATTGTACTGAGTTTTTGCTTTGTTGTCTTTGCTCCAGTCTTCCGGGGACCCGGTTGTGGCGGCGGAGTTCCACCCCCTGATAGAAAATCAAATGGTTAGCTGTGGTAAGGGCCATTTACTCTTCTGGACGCTAGATAACAACAAGGTGGTCAAGAAAGCTGGCATCTTTGAGGTGAGTTTTAGTCAGAAGTTTTGAAGATGATATTCGCTGACGAAGTTGTGACGTCACTCCGAGGTCAACTCAGTGCAACCATGGTGACCGGTTCACGCCCACTGCAGTGGCCCAATGTGCTGACCGTATTTTTGCTGCGGCCATTGCTGTGGCCAGTGCAACCATGGTTACTGCTTCATATGCACTGCAGTGGCTGCTGTAAATCAAAGTTTTATAATTGGCTTGAAAATCTCCTCTGGGAAGCAAAAATAAGCACAACTGTGGTTTTAACTGGTGTGGTGACAATCGTTTGCAAAACACTTTACCCGTTTCAGGTACACATTTGTGAAATTGTTCTATAAAAATAAAATGTAAATTTGCTGTCTGTTATTGTGTGTATTAAAAGTATGTGAAATTTGTCCTTAAAGCCGGCCTCAGGTTGACCTTGCGACGATACATATCAGTCGGCGACTGACGTTTTAGGATCAAGCTGTGCCTGAGCTACGACCGACCGTCGGGAACAACTCAGTCGCCGATTTTTTTTTGCGACCTGAGTGTAACTGCGACGATATTAAGATGATCCGCATCAGCTGGCGCTAAAAAAAATCAACAGTCGCAAGAGTAGAAATATTTCAACTTCTGTGACGTCTTCCGCGACAATCACACGATTTCTCAGTTTTGTGACCTAAGCATAATTTTTGTGCTTGATGCCAACGGTTCCGTCTTGGCGCAAGCTTATAGCTCCATGGCGCAAGCAAATCATGGGTCAACCTGAGGCCGGCTTAAGGAATGTGTGTGAACCATTGACAAGGAAGTGAGCCTGGCTTGAGGTAAAGGTGACGTCACACTTTTTCAGCCTTCCGTATTTGTTAGCTGTCTGGCATAAAATGCGTGTGATGGAAGCATTTTGAGAACTTAGATGCCAAGATATTTTATTCTTCAAAGGCCATTTTAGATGGAGGGCTCACAGCTCATTTGTAGCCCTTTTTAAGATTGAAAAATCTGAATTGTTAGAAACTGAGTCTCCAAAGCCCAAAAAATTTGGGGTTTTATAAAAAGGAAGTTTCTTGACTACATATTTGTTCATAAAAATAAGACAAAAATTCAAGCTTGCTGCACATTCAGAGAGGTTTGGTTTCAACTGAAAAGCAGAGATTTTTTTTTTTTTACTTTATGTACACAGTGGGTTAATTGTTTTTCACTAATCTCTCGTCTGAATCCCATAAAATTTGCGAATGGAAGATGTGACCTGCTGGACTTGACTTGAATTGCCTGATAAAAACTGTAAAATACTCTTGTGGTAAATATTTCCACAATTGTCTATATTTCCATGATTGTCTACTACTTATTGTTATTCCTTACTTGTACATGTATGTGTCTATTCTGAGTCAATTTCACTTTTGACTGTTACTGTTCTATGCTTTGATCTTTCAAAAAAAATGTGCTTTGTGGACTACAGAAGGTACGTCTTTATTGTGAAGTAGTTGCTTAATATTGCTTGTTTATACCAGCATGCAGCCCCTCCAATGTTTACCTGTCATGCACTGTTCATTAACGCACCCCTGCATGGGCCTATTGAAAATTGTGGAGTATAGACGTTGGGTTTTTCTGTAATATTGTTTTTTATTAATTTCCATCGTATATTGCTGATGGCACAGTACCAATGATATGAGTCCAAGTGCTTTTCTAGATCTTTGAAAGCCAAACTTTATTGTGCTGGTAATGACAAATTCCCTCTGTCTCCATGTAAATATTTGCAAAAAGAATTGACAGTTTTCGCTCAGCGGCAAAACCAATTTAAGAGACTTTGATTGAGAATTATTTTGAAAAGTAGATTTACACTGCTATTCCCCAGTATGTTTCTTTCCCAAGCTATATTCCTTCTTGTTTTAATCTGTTCGAAATCTTACTGGCTGTTACAGAAAATGCCTGCAATGTGTTGATCTTGTGGTAATGGAGATTGGCTTTGGTCAAAGTTCTTTTGGTACTCTTCCAGTGAACACTCTTCCAATGTTTCTTATTTGCGCATATATCACCATCTGCCACTACATCGGTTTCTCGTTGACTTGAAAATATCTGTGAAATCCTCCTTCGTGCTCAAATCAGATACTGAAATGGTGTCCATAAATCAGATGTCATTTCTTTGTGCTTTTAAAAACTAAAATTACCTGGGAATTTTCAGTCTTATAGGTTGAAGAAATATTAAGAAGACATCCCAATTTGTATGTCATGAATGAATGTCCAAAGAAAAAATTACTGGGCAAGAAAAAGATACGAGCACTAAACATTTGTTTAATGAGTGAATTGTTTCCTAACATTGGCAGTGAATGTTTTTATCAACTTCAGTTTTTCATATTTAGGAAGTCCAGTGTAAAAATGAGTTAGGTTTATGATTTGGAATGGGATAATAAACATTAGCTGTGAAGTGTCAAAATTGTGACAAGGGAGCTATTGTAAATTTCTCACAACTTAACCATACGTCTTCCAGTCTCATATATGACATTGTGTCTTGTTTTGTTTTTAAATGATTGCCTCATCTTTTCACAGAAACATGACAAGCCCAAGTTTGTGTTGTGCTTTACATTTGCTGGCAATGGCGATCTGCTCACCGGTGATTCCAACGGCAACATCTTCATTTGGGCCAAAGGTAAGCAAGGGTCATTAAGTGGAGGATCCAGGAATTTTTTAAAGGGAAATGGCTGAGGTGTCAAATTCCATTTAAAGGTATAGTCCATCATTTGTAATGTATGCATTTTGTTCGTTTGAAGCAACAAACGTGCTAAAAGTCTAAAGAAGGGTACTGAACGACTCACCTGATGAAGTTTCAGCTCAGCTTCAGGTGTATATTTCAACAAAAACAACATTCTAGGATCTCGATTTCAAATCAAAAGTTGCTGAATCATGTTTTGAATTGGGCCTGAATTCAGCATCCGAGACACTTTCTCACTGAGCCGATGGCAGCTACGCGATGTCGAGCACTGATCCGACGAATTCTAGCAATCGCGCGCGCGCGTGTGTCAGTGGTCGATTTAGAAAAAAAAAATCACATGCACTGGTGCATGTAGACTAAAAAAGTTACATGCACAAAATAAATTTTACATGCACAAAAAAGTGTGCACACAAGTCATAACCCAAAAGAGCGATAGGTATTTGTTGTTGTAAAATATGTGTATTCCTACAAATTTTAAAATGTTAGTGCTGTTAAGGGTGTTGTTTTGTTTTGCAAATAAAATGTGTTTCTGTAGTAATAATTGGCATTCGCATTCGCTGTATGTTTATTTCATCAATAGATTAATCTCTGACAAACTTCAAAATGTTATTTTCCTTTGATGTGCATGTGGTCATGATTGGGCCCAACATTGCAACCGCGATCGCGAGAAGCCGAAGCCGAAGTAGTAGGCCTAATATCAGGTTCCGCCGTGTCATTGCCACCACTTGCAGTCGAATCCGATGGGGCAGAATCAGATGTAATCACGTCAGTGTCTTTCTCCGTGCTTTTTTTGCCCCAAAATGACAAGATGGTATTTTTTGGAGCGGCGACTTGTTTCCTTTTTGGAGGCATATTTGCTGGCCGCGGCACACATGCACGCAAACAATGTATGAAAACTTTCAACCAGTCACAATATCGCACGAGGTTTGCCGATATCACTGCAGTATATACTGCATAGCATACACACGCAGCGATCGCCCAGAGAGGGGTATACCTAATTGCTCAAAAGCGACACCCCCTAGTCTTTTTTCCAGTCGTGTTGCATGCGCCGCGCTGTGTGGTTCAGATGGTGAATTGCATGAAGCCGGAACGTACACGAAGAAAGCGTTTAGAAAACGGCTACACTCCACAGGCCAGCTTTTTATCGCTATAGTACACGTCATGCAGCGCTGCTGAGTGCTAAATCATATGTACATGTACGTTAACCACAGGCTGTGTGTCGCTCGTTGCGTGAAATCGCGTGCGCGTGCATGTGACAAGTTGTTCAACGTGGGTAAATATACGAGGTATGTTTTTAGGCCTAAAAAAAAGTACGTGCACGGCGTGCACGTAGTATCAGAGGTTTACATGCACAGAGGAAAAAGTACATGCACCTGTGCATGCGTGCACCCGTCTAAATCGAACACTGGCGTGTGTCGTGCCAACGCTTGCACCAGCTTCGCCGAATATAAAAAGGAACTACTAACAGAAATTTAAAAGGCCTTCTTTCGTTGATTTCTTCGAAATGACAGCTTGCCAGAAAGAATAATTTCACAGGGAGTTTAGTCCCCTTACTATCTTTCAACCACTTGAGTATGCTTTTCAACAATAATTACGTCAGTTACTTTTTGGATAGCTGCAAATGATGGACTGTAGTTTTAAGTGAAGGATCCAGGAATTTTCCGAAGGGAGTTGCTGTGGTGTCGAATTCCATTTCAGGTGGGATGGCTGAGGTGTCGTGACATTAAGTGATCAAAGACGTCAACTTCGTCAAGCAATGAACCAAGATTTGGAATTGAATGATATTATTTCAGAAAAGTAAACTTGAGATTTGGCAGCCATTCCAACCAAATCTTACTGCAAAATCTGCCCTTGGACATTGGGACATTTAAAGTTTGGTAATTATTTGATAATTTGCATTTCTTACTTGGGTTTGTTGAAAAGAGGATTTCTACTTTCAAATGTAGCCCTGAAATTGAACAAATCATGCGTGATTAACCCTAACCCCTAAGCTCTTTTGGCTAGAAACCATCCTCAATCCTGCAGAATTCTCCAGTTGCCACAATGTAAGAATTGGATTCAGCCACAATCCTCTAAAATCACCATCTGACATGTTCATCGGAGTCTACAGAATGACCCATTTGTTAAATCTGGTCTCATTTCGCTTGATGTCCATTCCAGGCAGTAACCGCATCAGCCAGGCCATCAAGGCTCACGAGGGGCAAATCTTCTCCCTTGTCATGCTTCAGGACGGAAGGTTCCTGTCTGGTGGGGGTAAGGACAGGAAAGTCCACATCTTTGATACTTCCTACGATGTGACTGTCACGCTAGTGGTAAGATGTGAACAATCTACCTTTTGATTTGTTTATGGTGGCATCTCATAAAATTACGAGGAGTAATTCAGTTGGCCTTTCAGACGAGATATTGCGCAGATGAGACCTGTATTTTTGAGGAATAGTTTCATTTCAGCATACAGATTTCTCCAAACAGTGAGATCCCAACCAATAATCAAACGTACATATTCTCTGACTGCTCTGTGTGGTTTCGCGGTATTAATAAGCCAGTTCGGTATTCCAATTGCACATGCACACAATGATATGGGCCACGGGTCATTCGAGATTATTGAATGCGCATCGAAGGCGTATGAACACGCAGCGAGACGGGCGCACGACTAATACTGAACTGTCTTAAAATTGAGGTACAGACCATGTGACATTTGTTTACAAAATTGGATGTTGTGATCACATGATGCCATCTTTCAGCAAACGGTTCTCTTCTGCACTGCATGTATATCTCTTGAAGAGTGAGTGGTTTTAAAATGTTGTCATATACTGTTTAACGCGGGCCAAATAACATGAAAAAGATGCTTAAATGTTTGGGTTGCCCGGCAGTTGCCTGTTGGTATGACGTCACAGGGCTCATGGTCTATACAGGGTGGCCCCCAAAAAAACAGAATGGCGTACTTCCGCTACCCTGAGACGCAAACAACCTATACCAATGCATGGGGAATTCTGTTACAAGAAAAATGGGAAAGATTTCCATGTACGAAATTCACTCAACACTCTGTGTACAAACCCTATGAGAGTGGACAGAAAAATCCCAAGTGTTTTCCAAGAAAATGCTTGTATTTTCTCAATGCTCAAATTGACTTTGATGACATGAAATTGCTATCTGGGGGCTTGTTAGTCAATACAGAGGAAAATTAGTGAACTTCGCATATGGTAATCTTGCCGAAAAATGATACCAAGATCGTCCGATTCGGTCCAGTAGTTTTTGTTCTATAGCCTATTTTGTGAAGCAAGGTTGGGAGTCATTTTGTCCCAATGAATTACTAGGTCATTAGAAAGAGGTATTAATTGTTAAGTAATAATACCCACATGATCAGTTATACATGTATGCTTCCCAAAATAGGCTCTGCTGCAAAAACTACTGGACCGAATCGGGAGATCTTGGTATCATATTTCTTCGAAAAAGATTCTCCATCCATTGGTATGGGTGGTTTGATTCCAAAGGTAGTGGAAGTATGCACATCCGTTTTTTTTGTGGGCCACCCTGTATATCAGTACACTTTGCAGACTTGGAAAAGGACTCAATTATAATATTGGTAAAGAGTGAGAAAAAAAAAGGATGCCATGTCTAAATTTTGCACTAGGAGATTACAGCACTGTTTGTCTTTTTTTGCAGTTGCCCGAGTCAACTGGCCCGTGTCGCTGTCTGTGCCCAGGTAAAGACAAGGACATCTATGTAGGGACAACCCGTAATGCCATTCTGCACGGAGACATGGAGGGCGAAACCTTCACCCCTGACGTTGTGGTAAGGCCTTCCAGGGCAGTTCCTTCTCTTTCAACTTTCTTTCAACTTTCTTTCATGCTTCTTTGCTTTTCTCATACACATGAAAAACAGTTTGGTATTGATGGACCGCCATAAGAAAGAAAAGGGAGGCAAATTGTTTTTAAGTATTTATTTTACAGTATGGGATAATGTTGGGACACAAACAGCTTCTGAAATTAGACAAAGTATTAAGAGGGGATAGGAACAAGTCGGTGGAGTGTCATGGCCTAGCGGTTAAGAACACCGGACTCGTGCTCTGGTGTTTCAGAGGCAACAGTGGCATGGGTTCGAGCCCGCGGGTGGACACTTGTGCCCTTGAGCAAGGCACTTAACCATTATTGCTTCGTCCTTCGGATGGGACGTAAAGCCGTAGGTCCCGTGTGTTGTGTAATCCAATGCACGTAAAAGAACCCAGTGACACTTATCGCGAAGAGAAGGGGCCTGCCCCGGTGTTTCTGGTCTCCTGTATAAACTCCCACGCGGAGTATTTAGGAGATGAACCAACCAAGAAGACGACCAAGAAGAATGATGATTATGCAAATAAGAGCCTGCTTTATGGCGGGCCAAACAAAAAAAAGTAAATTTGTGCTGGACCCGAAGGGCCAGCCTGTCGTCTTCTGACTGAGTCCCAAAAGATTTTTTGGGTCTAGCTCGACAAGGCATACCACATTTTGTTTTCAGTAGAACTTTCGGACTACCAGGCACTGGTATCAGGCGTATACTGTGAAATGAATATACTAAACATTTGTCTGAATGTAGTTTTGTGTAGTTTGAGCTTCAATTATGGCTGCCATGACTGGAAACAACTCGAGAACTAACTTGGTGATCAAGAAATAAATAACCAACATGCAGATGATGTCTCCATCAGGTGCCATTGCAAGTCGATGCGTCAGCCGTACTCAAACTTTTTAATCAATCACCCTTGGTGTTATCTCAGATGATTCACTTGCGCCATGAAAGTGCAGATTTGAATGTTTTGAACTTGATATGACTTTCTCTATAATATTCCAAACCAGTCTGAAGGGTCGTACCAACCCTCCCCCCTCCCATATGTTTAGCTTGTTCCTCTTTGCTCTCACCTAGCCGTTCCTCTTTCCCTTCTGCAGGCCCATACCGACGAGTGTTGGGGTCTGGCCGTGCACCCCAATCAGAGCTTGTTCCTGACTTGTGCCTATGACAAGCACGTTATCATGTGGGATGCAGAGCAGCATCGCCCACTCTGGATGAAGACCATGGAGGAGGTAATTCAAAACAAACCCTTTATTGTTCTTATTCTCAGCAGAATTTGGTGGGTCATTATAACCCTAACCCCCTAGGCCCTCTGGCTACGATGCAACCTCAATCCTGCAAAATCTTCCAATTGCAACCAAGAAAAATTGGATTCAGCCTCAATCCTCCAAAATCATCCATTATTTCTTGAATTAAGTCTGTGGAGGGTGACCACTGCCTCAATCCTCCAAAATCCTCTGCCAATCACTTCTAGGGTTTGAGGCAGTGCGAATGGCGTTTAGAAGCAGTGCGGATGAAATACGAGAAAAAACACAGGGCTGACTTATGCATGGCTGAACATAACCAATGCAGGATCTACTGGCTTGACATAATGCATCCTCCACAAAAAAGCGATACATCTTTGCCATTCATCCTCAATCCTCTAAAATCATCCAAAACTGGCAGGAGGATTTTTGAGGATTGAGGAGGGTTTGGGGAAAAGGCACATAGAATCATTTGCATTTATCCTAAAAGTAAACTAGCCAATTATTATCAAAAAGCTTATTTGGATTTGGATCGTACTGGTACTAAACGCCCCATGAAATTATTCCGTCTTGCTTGCTGTCATTTAGAAGAAACCAAGAAATGTAGGTATCAGTCACTTGACTGATTTTGATACAAATAAACAGTAATATAGACGAAATTGTGTTTCCTGATGAAAAAGTTGTGCGTGGTTTTTTCAATGTTTGCTCAAAAATTGTCTAATATCCACTGGGCTGAAAGTTCAACAGGTTATGTTTTGAAAATTCTTCTTTGGATTTTGATTATTGAAAACGAACAAATATTTGAAAGGCAAATTATCCTATACGCCTTTACAGAAGGGGCATGCACACATGTAGTAGCTTTTTGGCATGTGGCGGACACAATGGGTAGGGGGCTACTTGGATTTGTAAAAGCTATTTTACCCTAAAAACTAAATTTAATTTATATCACCCCGCCGCTAAATTCCATCTTCTAAAAGCTATTGTATTGACCCAAATATCCCAATAGGACGTGATACATTTTTTCCAATGCTGCCATAAAGGATGAAACATAATGTTACATATTCAAATTGACAATACATGTTCATGGATATATTTACAATTGATATAATAGTGAACATTAACTAAATGCCAATATCTAGGTCGGGGGTGAAGCATCAGCTTTTGTTCCCCAGCCTATAGACAGACAGACAAGTGACAGACGTACATGGAAAGACAGAGCACAGACACTGGTGTAAGACAGTAATCAAGGCCGTTATTATCCTTATCACATAGCTTTAGTATGCAATTAATAATTGACTTTTTAGTTTTCTAGCCAAAAAAATGAGTGGGTGATGATTTTTATAGGAGTCATCCAGACTAATCCAATATGTGACCTGTTCTGTCAAAAGCAGACGCTTCTGGGCAGACGTTGAAATTGAGATAGGCCCAAAAAAAACGATGTGGGGTGATTTTTTTCGATTTTCTAATTTTTGCATATTTGTAATTCTGAACATGTCTAAAATATAATATAAAAGTTTGAAACCCTAATTTAAACTCTAAATATAGTATTTTTGATGATTTGTTGAGGTATATCAGTTAAAGTAATGTCTGTTCTGTGACATTCGTGGCCATTTTCTCCGTTTTCTACTTTTCAACACAATGAACTTCAAAAAAGCATAACTTTGCCCAGGAATTACAGGTTTTAACATAAGCAAAATTCTCATTTACGACCTTATGCCCAGAAAAGTCTGATTTTGACAGAACAGGTCACATATAGAGTGCCACGTTGGACAACACTATTTTTGGACAATGAAGTTCTATTAAAATTAACATAAAGATTTGTCCTTGTAGCCCTGCGGGTATTAAAGGAAGGTTTGATGTACATGTAAAATAGTGGAGAGAACCGGATGGTAAAAGGAAACACAATGGCCTAAAACATTGCGTTTTAGAAATAAACTCAGCGTTGCATTGGATTTCAGTATCCACACACACCCAAATCATTGTCTTGATATTGCTGCCCTGATGTAGGATCCCTGCCAGTCGGCCTGCTTCCATCCCAACGGTGGAGTGGTTGCCCTTGGTATGAAGACAGGACGTTGGATGGTGTTAGATGCCCAGAACCAGGATCTGGTGACCGTCCACACTGATGGTAACGAGCAGCATGACATCGTCAGGTACTCACCAGGTAAGGCTAACTCTCGTTATCGAATAGAACAGGCATGCAACTTTTCCTCGGATCAGCTGATTTCCTCTTTTTTTTATGTGTGCATGTCTTCACATGTGTGCAATTGACAATAGAAAAACACTGTACAAAGTCTTGGAAAGATTTGAGTTTCCTCTTTTTTTGTGACTTTCCAGTTGCATGCCTGATAGAACTTAGCAAAATCTGCAAAATTTAGCTGAGTACCAATCACAAGCAATTTAAATCCCATGGCATGGGGTCGTTCACCTGTTATCAGTAAGCAAATGGGCAATTCCACACTAATGGGCCAATTAGATACGTTTATGGATGTCGCAAAAGAATAATAGATGAGCTAGTGTTTCTTATAGTTTTGTCCTATACCTTGCTAAGTTGATGACTAGGACAAGAAAATGCAAGTATGAAATCTTTTTTTCTTGAGAAAATAACGGGACTTTTTTGTGTGTTATACGTATGTGACAAGGACAGACACCCTGCAAGGAAAAGGGTGCTTAGGCCAAATTCACTTTCTAATAGGCACTTTCAACCCATTTACATTGCTATCTAGCTAAAATCTAACAGTTTTAACACTGGCTTCAAATTGATGATGTGATAAGGTTTACGAAGGAACCGGGACAGATATTTTGTGAAGAATGTCCAGTCTGTTCGTACGTATAAATCCTGATTATAAAATATCAAATACTTCTTCACATTGACGCTGAGTTTTTTAGGTTTTGACTGACAGCATTCTTCATTTTTATCTAAAATGTCTGTCCTTCTTTAACACTTTCAACATTAACGACTTTTAAAAATAATATCCACCATACTTCTAAAATACAATACCAAATATATCCTTTGCAGGTGAGGATATTTGTTCAAAGCTTGCAATGTTTACAGCCAAAATTGAGAGACCAAGATTCTAGTTTTATTATCAAAGTGTTTCTTATAGTTCTTCTCTTAAAGGTCTTCTCAAATGTCACACTTTTGGGCCCATTATAAGTGGATTGCCCATATATTCTGTGCTTACCAGTCTTATTAAGTGTAGCAGCTACAGGCTAAAGCATAGTACACGTCAGTGTCGTAGTCAAGTCTATCACAAGTCCAGTCGCAAGCAACAGGGGCTGAACAATAACAAAGCAATGCCTTTGTCAAAGTTCACTTGAATAACTTGTGACTTGAATTGGGACTTGGTGTCTTGTGATAGACTTGTCAGGACTTGCAGGGACTTGTGACGGACTCGTCTACAACACTGGAAATGTGTGTAAATTCTCTACCCTAGGCATTTGGTCCCTTGCTCGGGATGTCATTAGTCAGTTCTTGGATCTGAGATATCCTTGTACCTACGGTAACACGTTGAATCATTTTATATCCGGAACCTTGGATATTACAATGAGATGCTGATCAGTCTGGTGCCTTGAACCGTCTTCAGTATTTTTGTGTGTGTAGTATCTAGGGGACAAGACTGGAGTAATTCGGTTTCAGAAAAACCATTTTGTGTCAAAATGTGGTAATCACAACCATCCAACAGCTGCTTTTTCACTTCAAATGATATTAAATGGACAAGGGAGAATTATTTGTCCGACAAACTGGAGTGTGATGCATAATATTCCTTCAAAACATGGAGTATGCATTTTTAAAGTTAAATCACATGATGCAATATCCTAACTTGTTATCATGGTAACAAATTGGAATATGGGAAAGCTAGTTACCCTCGGGGTCTACTATTAAGAGTGAGGTGAAATGAAGTAAACTTTGGGCATGAGGTTGAGTTGTGCGTATACGTGTACTCAATGAAGGAGTGATCTGGAGGTCAGCTGAATCGATAGTATGGTGCTGTCATTGGTCAGTTATTCTTCAAAACAATTGGGTTTTTTTTTTCTTACCAGATGAACATCACCTATCCTACTTTCTAGCAGTTCATAACTTTTTCTTTATTCCACTTCCAGATGGGAACTATCTGGCAGTTGCCTCCCATGACAACTACATCTACATCTACGCAGTGACTGAGGAAGGACGCAAGTACAGCAAAGTTGGCAGATGCTCAGTAAGTGCTCCTCTCAGTAAGCTTTGTAACATCCAGGGATTACTGTTAAAGTTATAGTCCATCATTTGTAATTTGTGCATTTTGTTCGTTTGAAGCAACAAAAGTGCTCAAAATCTAAAGAAGGGTACTGAACAACTAACCTGATGAAGTTTCAGCTCAGCTTCAGCTGTATATTCTGAGAAAAAACAGCATTCTAGGATCTCAATTTCAAATCAAAAGTTGCTGAATCATGTTTTGAATTGCGCCTGAATTCAGCGTCCGAGACACGTTCTCGCTGAACCGAATGCAGCTACGGGATGTCGCGCACTGATCTGATGAATTATAGCAACAGGGGGTGCGTGTGCGTCGTGCCAATGCTTGCGAGCGCTTCGCCGAATAACAAAACGAACTACAAATTTAAATTTTCCTACGGTGCGTCTTAAGAAGCACCGTTGGAAAGGCCTTCTTTCGTTGATTACTTCAAAATGATAGCTTGCCAGAAAGAATAATTTCACAGGGAGTTTAGTCCCCTTACTATCTTTCAACCATGTATGTTTTTCAACAATAATTGCCAGCTACTTTTTGAATAGCTGCAAATGATGGACTATAGCTTTAAGGGTCTGTAAGCCTGTAAGCAGAGAATCTTTGTAACTGGAGTAGAAAATGCTGCACTAATGGTAGCCATTGTTTACAGGTTAGCGTGGAATTTTGGTATTCTGGATTTATGTGCTTACAGAGTTTGCACAGAATGTCTGTGCCAGTATTCAGGCATGAGGTTTTTTAAGTCTTTTGTCTGAAATCAGACTTTGTGAATGTGAGATAAAGGCATTGTCAGTATAGACAAATCTGACGGCAGCCATTTTCTGCGGTGGCATCAGGCTGGCGCCAGTCACGCTCGGATAGTACACACGCACTCCGGGCCTCTTCGACCAATGAGAATACCAAAATGCGCGCGTCTTTAAGAACGCGTGCAGCATGTGCGAGAGCGTGACACCACCGCAGTAAAAGCTTCTAATTCTGGTTGCCGGATTCCACTATAGGAAAAATGCATCTGTCAGACCTTGCATCTAATTTTCAGACATGTTTTTACCCCTCAGCCGAGAGGCTCGAGGGGTATTGTCATCGCCTAGGGCGTCCGTCCGTCCGGATGTATGTGTGTCCGTCCGTCCGGGCAGCTTAGTTTCCGGATGATAACTTGAGTTAGAAATGTTGTTTGGGGTTGTAACTTCGGTAGGGGGTTGCCCTTGGGAGTAGGCAAGTTGGGATTGGTTTTGAGGTCAAAAGGTCAAAGGTCAAGGTCACCGTGGTGAGTTAAATGTAAATGGTTTCCGGATGATAACTTGAGTTAGAAATGAGATTTTGGTGTCTAACTTTGGAAGAGGGTTGCCCTTGGGAGTAGGCAAGTTGGGATTGGTTTTGGGGTCAAAAGGTCAAAGGTCAAGGTCAGCATGGTGAGATAAAGGTAAATGGTTTCCGGATGATAACTTGAGTTAGAAATGAGATTTTGGTGTCTAACTTTGATAGGGGGTTGCCCTTGGGAGTAGGCAAGTTGGGATTGGTTTTGGGGTCAAAAGGTCAAGGTCAGCATGGTGAGATAAAGGTAAATGGTTTCCGGATGATAACTTGAGTTAGAAATGAGATTTTGGTGTCTAACTTTGATAGGGGGTTGCCCTTGGGAGTAGGCAAGTTGGGATTGGTTTTGGGGTCAAAAGGTCAAAGGTCAAGGTCACCGTGGTGAGTTCAATGTAAATGGTTTCAGGATGATAACTTGAGTTAGAAATGAGATTTTGGTGTCTAACTTTGGTAGAGGGTTGCCCTTTGGAGTAGGCAAGTTGGGATTGGTTTTCGGGTCAAAAGGTCAAAGGTCAAGGTCACCGTGGTGAGTTAAATGTAAATGGTTTCCGGATGATAACTTGAGTTAGAAATGAGATTTTGGTGTCTAACTTTGGTAGAGGGTTGCCCTTGGGAGTAGGCAAGTTGGGATTGGTTTTGGGGTCAAAAGGTCAACGGTCAAGGTCACCATTGTGAGTTAAAGGTAAATGGTTTCCGGATGATAACTTGAGTTAGAAATGCGATTTTGGTGTCTAACTTTGGAAGAGGGTTCCCCTTGGGAGAAGGCAAGTTGGGATTGGTTTTGGGGTCAAAAGGTCAAAGGTCAAGGTCAGCATGGTGAGTTAAAGGTAAATGGTTTCCGGATGATAACTTGAGTTAGAAATGAGATTTTGGTGTCTGACTGAGGTAGGGGTTTGCCCTTGGGTACAGGCAAGTTGGGATTGGTTTTGGGGTCAAAAGGTCAAAGGTCAAGGTCACCGTGGTGAGTTCAATGTAAATGGTTCCGAATGATAACTTGAGTTAGAAATGAAATGTTGGTGTCTAACTTCGGTAGGGGGTTTCCCATTGGTACAGGCATGTTGGGACTGGTTCTGGGGTCAAAGGCCAAAGGTCAAGGTCACCACGTTGAGTTAAAGGTTAATGGTTTCCGGATGATAACTTGACTCTGGCTGAGGGGTTTCAACAGCAACGCTGTTATTTTTTAAATTGACAATATCATCCCTATAGTATCGTAAGCACATAATGGTGATTGTAGGACATAACATTTTGAGTCATGCAATTGGTCCCTGAAGATGGTAGTCTGCAGATAGCGTTTTGGGTAGACCTTTTTTGCTAGATTATTGGAATCAGCCAATTGTCCTCAGACTGACTGAATCACTGACTGAGACAACCAGTAACAATCATGACCCAAACTGAGACTTGCAGGCCAAACCGAGTTGTTTGTATACTGGGATTGAACAGGTTATTGGACAAACCTTTTTATTAATTAAATTAAAGAGTGCAGCCAGATGCACATTGACATCAAATGTTGCCAGGTATGTACTCCCTAAACCGTTGAAAAAGGGAGAGATGGGGGAGACCACTGGATGGACATTCCAATGCACATATGTCACCTCATGAGGCTCAAGCAAGGACACCATTGGTGTGTGAGCACTCGCAAGCACATAAGCCATATGTCGTTTGTGCTGTACAAATGCAGATCAGTACGCGCATGCCGTGTGTCTCCCACTGGAGCCTTTAAAAAATGGTTAGAAAAGCGTCATCTACTGTCCGTGCACGTTGTCCGTTACCGTTTAACGCTTTGCTTCCCACCCTCAGGGTCACTCCAGCTTTGTAACCCACATAGACTGGTCAGCCGACTCCAACTACCTGGTCTCCAACTCGGGCGATTATGAGATCCTGTACTGGAAGGCTGAGAACTGCCGTCAGATCCCCTCAGCTACCAGCATGCGGGACACCGAGTGGGCTACCTTCACCTGTGTCTTTGGTTTCCCTGTCTGTGGTAAGAGAATAAAAAGCAATCAGCGGCAGAAATACAAAGTTGCCAACAGTGCTATCTCTTTTTATTTATCTTGTTTTTTTCAAAGAAATCACAAAGGAAACTGACAAGGTGCTTTATATTAATTGTGTTCAAAGTTGAACAAACATATTGACTGGAGCAGGGTGTGAACCCGCGACCTCCGGATTGCCGTTCCGGTGCTCTACCAACTGAGGTATCAAGCCCCATGTCGGCGGTTCCTAAATTTTGTCAGTGTTCAAGGGGTGCTAGTGAGAAGCCATAAACCTGTATACGCCATGTGTCCAGGAATCGCGCCCAAATTCAAGATGCTAGCAAGAGCAGCAATGCTGCAAAAATGGGAAATATCTTGAAATAAAATGGCCTTCCATCTCAGATGACTTTGGTCCAAATCTAGCCCATTTCACCATGTGGATTTGGGGAGGGGTGTTTGCTAAGCACCAGTATGGAATGTTAGAAATTTTTAGCATTAAGACTGGAATTGAACTTCAACACTGCTTCTAAATCACGCCATTTAGTTAAAGGGAATATACATCATTTGCTTTTGCTGAAATTTTCAGAAATGGATGGAATTGGGGGGTTGGAAATATATAGCAAATATAGTTACACTGACTTTTTTGAGGTTTTGGGTTCGAAAATGCTATAAAAACCAAGAAAAGCAATCATTTTCCTGTAGTCTGGTTCCCTGACTCCATTTAAGAAGAAACAGAGCAGTTTACATACATTGGGGAATTGTAAGGTCAGGGAACCAGTCTAGCTGGCTTGTACCCGTTCATAGGTGTGTAATCGATTGCAAACAAGTGCGATGGTCAATTGGGGCCAGTATTTGAAAAAAAGCCAGTTTTTTTCAATGCTGGTCGGCCGACCAGCGTTGGAAATTCATACAAAGATACCACTTTTCTTGAAAATGACAGCACACCAGGTGCCATGATTTTACAGGATGCTTTACACTGTCATTCACTTACAGTCCAGCAAGGTATTTCAAAATGATTTGGTAGTTTTATTTTTTGATGTTTGCAAATGTTGTATTTTCCCTTTAAGTTTTATTTTAAGCCCAGATTGATTTTAAAAAGACGCTATTTATTAATTAATTAATTAATTTTTTTTGGCAGGTATTTGGCAGGAGGGCAGTGATGGGACTGACATCAATTCTGCCTGTCGCTCTCATTCCGGTGCAATCCTAGCTACGGGTGATGACTTTGGCAAGATTAACCTCTTCAGCTACCCGGTCACCCAGCCCAAGGTACAGCCAAGGAATCAAACGGATGGGAACTTCCGGGGAAATCAGATAACCGTTATCCCGTTTGAAAAAAATTAAGAGGATTTTGAAATCTCAGATTTCTCCCACCACTAAAATAGAGTGTTATGGACTAACGATTAGAGTGTCCCACTCTGGTGTTGAAACCTTAATGGGAATAATGGTGTTTGTGTTCCTGGGCAAGACACTTTACTGGAGTTGCCTCTCTCCACCCAGGAGAACAGTTTGCACTGATCCCAAACAGTTACTTAACACTGATCTTAAAGCCTGATGAACAGGGGTAATAATTGTGAAGTGCTTCGGGACATTTGTATGAAGTGCTATTAAGCACCGAATTATTTGTAATTGTTTAAAGGGAATAGACAACATTTGCAAACATCGAAAAATAAAACTATTAAGTTTTTACGAAATACCGTACTAGGATGTTGGTAAATGACAGTCTTAAAGCATCCTGTAAAAGTATGGCACCTGGTGTGAAGTCATTTTCAAGAAAATTGTATTTTTGTATACATTTCCAACGGTGTTCGGCCGACCACCGTTGGAAAAACCAAACTATTTTTCAACTACTGCTCCAAGTTTACACTTTTTTCAGTCCAAATTTTGTTTGCTATTGGTTACATGTTCATGAACGGGTGCAGGCCAGCTGGACTGGTTCCCTAACCTTACAATTTTCCGGCATCTATAAATTGATCGATTTTATCTTTAGTGGAGTCAAGGAACCAGACTCCTGGAACATTTTTGTTTTTCTTGGTTTTTCCAGCATTTTCGAACACCAAACTTCAAACATGTCAGTGTAACAATATTTGATCTATCATACTAACCCCTCAAATAGTTCATTTCTGAAAATTACAGCAAAGGCCAATGATGTACATTCCCTTTAAGTACATGTTGTAGTTAATTTTTAATTTGTGTGTTTCACAGGCTGGTCACAATAGTAACCGCGGTCACAGCAGCCACGTAACAGCAGTGGAATTCTCCAGTGATGACACACGTCTCTTCTCGACTGGTGGTCGTGACATGTCCTGCATGCAGTGGAAAGTGGTGTAAACTCAGCACAATCGATTTAGTTTTTCTTCCACGGAACTTTTCTCACCAAGTGGTTTAAGCACAGATAGCTTTTTCAATGTTCCAGGTTGTTTCTATAAAGTAAACAATTCTTCAGACCTGTATCATGTCTTGTGATTTCTTTCTATAAATGGACGTCTACAAGTTAACATGTGTATTCATAAAAATTATGGAAAAAAAACCCAAGTTTAGCATTTTGTGGCTCCTAATCATCCTTTGAAATGTCTTCTTTTTTTCACGTAAATGACTGTAAAATAGGCTGTTGGATAGACTCGTGTTTAGACTATACATCCTTATGTATGAGCAAGTTCAGGGAGGACCATTAGTCAACTAGTGGTTGCTCTGTGACGTAGCTATACCTGCGCTCTTTAAGCATTGTGCGACAACCTGCAGTCAAATGATGGTCAAAATTTCATATCGAAACTCCTTATTAGTTGTGGTTCCCCCTGCCTTGTGATGCGCATGGCTATTGGTAACTAGAGATAGAACCGTGCCCTGTGGTCCGGTTCCAAATAGTCAACTAGTGTAATCCAACCACATCCTGCGTTCAAACTATGTCAAACTATGGTTAACTATAATTTGCACCCGAACTTGTTCTTTGCTATCCGATCAGGTTACAATGAAAGAAACTTTCCCTTGTGAAATTAATCAGCATTTCAGACTTAGGTTGGTTAGGAAATCCTGTCTTCAAGCCGGTAGGGGGAATTTTGAAGTGACCCCGTTTCCCGGGTATCTGCTTTGTATTGAACAATTTTTGCACAATTCTGGGTATTCCCCTTTATTAAATGTACAATTAGGATGGAATAATGTGACTTCAGACCTAATTCACCTAGCTGCTTGATTATCAAGAATGATGTTTGGAACAAAAGAGATATCATGTACGTGACCAGTTTCCTAAGGATTTTTTACGATTTAGAAAAAAAATCCCTTTGAAATCTGTAATTTTGAGAATTTTCCATAAAGGTCTCAATCTTTAAAGGTTTACATAGAATGGTTTACATACAAAAAGAAATGGGTATTTTGAGGAGTGTGTTTTAGGCAAATACAAACATATCATTGACCCTATGTTGTTTTGGGCCTGTGGCAGCCCCCAAATGCGATTATTTCGTGGGTTTTTCATTTTCCCCCAAATCTCACCCCTGAAGTGTCACATTGGACTTCTTTTTTTTAGACAGGTTGACAGATTTTCACTGAACTGGTAGAGTTCACCTGTCTGAAGCTTTATCTTGTGATGCTGTGTCTATGAAGCAGTAATGTCCAAAGAAATACCCAAAAACTTTTATGTTTAGACATTAATTGCTCATATGTTGGCAGCTCAAGGCAATCAGAAGTTTTTCTTTTTAATGACAATTAGTCAAAAAAAAATCAAAAATTGGTTATGAATAATGCGTTTAAAGATGGATCACTAACGGATTTTATTTTTTTGTTTACTGGATAGACAGCGTTTTCTTTGATTTCATCACATGTTGTTAAAACACCTTAAGGAAGTTATTTATTTAAAAACTTCTTTCATTTTGTACCTTTTTTTACCAGTTTCTTCAAAACTGTTTAGCAAGTTTACGCTCATGTTTACTACAACGAATTCTAAGCCACGAGCGGATGAATTTTTTACATTCGTCTCTTGGTCTTAGCAATTTTATTTGGAGCAGATGCATTCAGTGGTGGTGGTGGTTAGTACAAGCAAACGTCAAATTCAGTGTGATAGCATTTAAGGTCTTATGATTGAAAGCAAACGACAATTTACAGAGGCGGCATATCGTTGAAATATCACCAGGGAAACCTGTCAGTAAACTAAAAATAGAAAAATTCAACAAAAGTAAAAAAAAAAAAAGCATTAAAGTTTAATGAGTTTAAAGAAATACTACATTCATGTGAAACGGCCATTATTTAATTTTTTTGCAATGTCAAATCTTGGCTATTAAAAAGGGATGTAGAATTTGTAGGCATCTTAATGCACATTTATCAGCAAAAATTATTGGTCTTTCAACTGACTTTTCTGTTGAGAGATGCAGAGAGGTTGCACTTTGGATACGAAGGCAGCTTAAGTAGTGTGTAGGCGTCGCCGGGAAATCCCCAGCAATTTTAGTAATTAAAGTCTCTTATGCCAGATCTGCTAGAAACAACACAAATGCAGTTGGTTAGGTTACAAGGAAGAAAACTTGCAAAGGACATTTAAAGATATTTCTTAATGATTTCAACCTTTTTTTTACATTGTGATTGACACTGGTGCCATTGTGAAAGTTGTTGATATTTGAATGTGCACTGGTATTTGGGAAGGCACTGGCCTAACACTTTTTGTTGTGGGTTAAGAATGGTTTGCAGTTTAGAATAATTTAATTGATTTTTGGATCTTTTTTAAATTTTTGATTTGATTTAGTACCTAAGTTCATCATTCAATTACTTTTTTCTATTCAAATTTTGTGACTTGAAAATGAAATTTCACATTTTCTGTTAATGTGAACTTGAACAAAATCAAATTCTACATAGAATCCTCCCTTTTTTTGTTGTTTCAAATTCGATGTGGAAAAAACTGAATGGGAAGAGAACATGGAGGCTACAAGTAGTGTTAATGTAAGTTGATTTTGTTCCAGAGAGTGTCCTTTACTGTTCACACAAATAGTGGAGAATCTGCCTACAAAGGCACATGGAGACTCAGCCATGGTTGCCATTAATTTATAACAGCATCTTTAGCAGATAAGTACGTGGTCATTGCAATTGACTGCATTCTATTTTGCGTAGTTACGAGGAGCAATTTTTTGAGGTACAGTAAAGTAATCTTGAAAGCTGCTGGTGTAATTGTTTTTGTTCCCTTCTTTTCTCAGAAAAGACATTCTGTTTGATTTACCACGCCTTTAAAAGGATATTTGATTTATCTGGTAAGGTCATTGGTGGCCATCTTTGTATGGTTCCAAAGGTCAAGGCAGATCTAGGCTTAGATCACCATATATTTGGCAATGGCACCAGACTAATTAGGAAGTGTAGTTGAATGTAGAATCTTCAGAAGAAAACAAAAATAGCAAGTTAAGATAAACCTGCTCATTTATCTCTGGTTTACTCTCAACTGTAGTGTGAGACTAGGGCCTATATTTGGTTTTGTGTTGTAGATTTTGGCATATGGTGAGCTGCGATCAAGTTACTACCTTTTTGGTAAAACAAATCTTTGTCGAATGAATAAGTAAAGCCAATTTGACAAAAACAAACAAGACCTGGCCCGGAGATGATGAATAGATGTAAGAACTTTGTAGTTGCCACAATGTGACGTAAGCGTATACTGTAAGATAATGACAATATTGTTACACATTTAAGCTGTATTTTTCATGTGGAGTACCACTGTGGATCTGTATTTCTAATGGTCAAAATAAAATAGGCCTACATATAATACAAGGATATTTTTGAAATCGAGTCATTTAATAATAATGATAATAATATATAGTGCTTATATAGCGCTTTATACCCAAGGCCTCAAAGCATTTCACAATTATTACCCCTGTTCATCAGGCCATGAGACCAGTTTCTGCAGCAGCTCAAGATCAGCGCAATCTGGTCTTCACAGGTATAACATTTTATAACAACTCTCTGCATGCATCGCATATTTCATAAATGTTATTTCAAAAATGCATTGCATACTTCACAAATTCCTGTGCAAGTTGGACCTTGCATGAGTAGTATGCAAGACGTGGCTAGTTCAGCGGGGCCAAAATCCTGGCTTCACTTTCTTTATTGAAGGCACATCATTTACATTTATCCCAAAGTAACCTACCAAAATTGTTATCAGAAAACATACTTTGGTTAATGATACGTATGTGCGCGTGTGCAGTGCGGTAATTTCCGTCGAGTCACAAGTCAGTTCGAGTCCAAGCCGAGTCCGTATAGCCCCAGTCCGAGTCCGAGTCGTAAGTCAAAGTGTCTCAAGTCTGAGTCCGAATCATAAAAAATGTGTCTCGAGTCGGACTCGAGTCCGAGTCACGAGTCATACAAGTCTGGCTGGTACTATAGGTCTCATGAACAGTACTCCGGCCATCGATCAATGATGTCCTTTTCTTCAGTGAGACAGTGGTACAGGCCTACATGTATACACCAACAACAGAGTACGACGATGACCAAGGGGAGGAATTCTACACTCAACTCCAGGGCATCATCAACAGGGCAGACAAAAAAAAGGACATAATTATCATCCAGGATAACTGGAATGCCAAGGTTAGAGCTGATGCTAAAACGAACAAGCGAGGATTACGCCTGTCGGAATTCGCAAGTTACGACATGGTGCTGGCAAACACCCTCGGTGACCATAAGGCATCACGATGCTGGACCTGCCATGTCCAAATGGAATACACCACAACAAAATTGATAACATCTTGGAGCAGAACCGGTTTCGATTGGTGATCTAGAGAGCAAAAACATGGACATTCCCAGGTGCAGATGTAGGTGACCACGGCCTGGTGATCATGAACCTTATAGTACAGCTGAGGAAGCTCAATGGACACCAGATTGGACAGATTGAAGGATTCTACCACCGTGGAGTCCTTCCAAGCAATAATTGGCAAAAAATCTTCACCACTGCTATAAACAGGATCAGTAACTTACAAAGATGTAAGATGTGTGTATGGACATTGAAGACAGCCTCAACAAGAACAGTAGGCGAGCATTCCAAGTTGTGAAGGATCTCACAAAGCAGAGACAGTCACGAGTCAGCACGATCCAAGACGAAGAAGGTGACTGTGTACTGTGATGTTGAATGGTGCTGCTGGAAAGCGGATGAAAATAAGTCAGCTCGATACTGGGCGGCACCCAAGAACTGAGTTCCTGATGTTCTTGTTGACAAGGAATCCAACGCCATTGGTGTGTTTGTCAAGTTCTTCACTGTAGTACAGTATATGACCTTCTTCTGTAAGGCGTTCTCCAATATTCTTCCATCATCGGACTTCACGGAGTCCCCGCCTGAGAAAATGCTGTCACATTCCATGTGGCAATTGTAATGTTCTCCCTCCCACAGATCTTCTGTGGTGAGGTTGCACAAGTAGCATTTTTGTCACCTCTAATGTGCGACGGAAGATCCAGGCCTTGTTACCCCGGGGACGACAGATTCGGTGTAGTCGTTAACATGTGGCTCATTGTCATGCAGTGGGTCTTGGGCAGAGTTATCCTGGCGGTGCCCATCCCTCTCCAGGCTTGATCACAGCCGACTTCTTCCAACTAGGTGGTCGCCATGGTCACGAACACGTAGATGTTAAGTTTTCTATGGACCGCTTCTGCCCTGGCTGGTGATTTCATCGAGGAAGTCTTTCGCCCGGTGGTGCCGTTTTAACACCAACCTCTCACTTGATTTAGCCCGCCAGCTAAAGCGGTTTACCGGGCGTGTGGCTCTTGGAACCATCACTTGAGAGGTTTAGAGGATGGATGAGGACCAGTGATGCCAGTCCACCCTACCAGGAAGGGTACAGCTGCCAATCATCAAAGGTGATACCTCTATCTAGAGCCCTCTTGGATAAAATAAAACATTCCATTACAAAAAACGACTCACCTTTGTTTTATTTACCAACATTTGCATATAAGCGTGCAATTGCACAAACCTTGATGAAAAAAGCGCCCACGATTTTAAGCTAAACAGACACTGCCGTAGGTTAGTCATTTATTATCAGACTTGTTTAATACAAATAAAATAGACTCTGAAAAACATGTTTCGACCCCCACCTTGTCTTCAGAAGCCAAGGAGTTACTCAGACGTAACAATTCCCAACTTCACGAGCAGGTTTTTTTTTTATTCAAAGACCAAAACACTGGGCAGCAGAATTTCCTTGGACCGCCACCTGCGTCATGGGTCAGAGTAGCTTTTTTTCTCAATCCTGTAAGGATACTTCAGATACAACTATGGCAGCCAAGAGCAGACAAGGATCCACAGGGAGAACTTAATAGACTTCTCCACTTCCCCAAATGGTGTGAACAGAGAGCTGACGATCCCTGTTCTGAATCTATAACTTCGATTGGGGAAACCGAATATTTTCCGCCTTCAGATCTCTATGGCTACAGTTCAGCCACTGGTGTCCTACATCAGGGTTTCGCTCCGTCAGCTTACAATAAAACCTGCATTTTTATTGGCTGCTCACTAATCGAGCTCCATGGTCTGTCAGTGGAACCAGGACATATCCGTTGGGAACCTGGCAGTGTTCGTTAAATTCCATAGACCATTCTCTCACAGAACCACTCAGTAGATTGTTCATCACCCCCTGATTTTTGCCAAGTTTGACATCCTTCTCAAGTGATGGTGCCCCGTGCAATCGAGCCGCGCAATACTAAAATGCTCACACTCGGTCTTTGAGAGGCAACATATCTCACAGCTGTTCATCATTACAACCGATGATCCAGCCCCACTGTCAGGCCTCTATCTGTGACCACAATCACTTGATGGATTTCGGAGGCTATAGAAAGTCCTTCTGCCAATCGACGACCAAAATCACGAGCCCATGGAACACGCAGTGTGTCAATTTCTTGGGCCCATCTACTATCTGCCTGGAGTCTCTCTTTCAGATATGAAAGCGGCTTGCGGGAAGAATCCATCAACCTTCACATCAAGTATGTCGTGCAAATGGAGGGACACATAGGCAGGATTGTCCTCCAAGAACAACAAACTGCACGATCAGCAGCCCGCAAAGATCCTCCAGCAAAGATAGGCAGATCTCGGGTATGTCAAGACAAGCTATCATCGTCATCATCATCATCAGTCTCCGAATCCAGGTATGGGGCGTTGAACCACCCACGCCAAGTGATTAGTCAAGTTGACAGATCATGTTCGTCAGGGATGTATCCATGCCATCGTTGCTCCTACACTCTTCTGTTGCACCATCGACTGGATCATTGATCCAAAACAATGGTTCATCAGGACCGCCCCCACTCCCATAACTGTGGCAGGGCAGGCAGTTGATGCAGTGGAGAAATTGACATATCTTGGATGCGACATTCACTCCTATGGATACTCCTCACATAATATCCATCGTCGAATTGGTTTAGCTTCTTCAACCATGGGCCAGCTATATTGTGTCTGGAGAAACAAACTCCTCACTCTCCATGATGAACGACTGCATGATGAGTGACTGCCCAGCCTATGAATAGCGCACTAGAACGCCCGCCAGCATACTGCAAAGACCACATGATTTTTTTTTGTATAAATAGCCGACGCGCTCCCACAGTACTTCATTCTTGCAGTAGTCGCCAAACCGTGAACATCTTCTTCAACTTCATCATGCCTCCCCCAAGCCCTCTAAAAAGTCAGAGCTGAGAAACCTGGACGTGTTAGAGGCAAGAAGAGTACCCCGGAGAAAACTACACCTGAAGAGTCTACTGCTGCTCCTTCAAAGCCATCTACCAGAAGCCGAGGAGGAGGTAGAAGAGCCAATCCCCCAAGCGCCATCACCCCCCCCCCCCCTGTAGCTTCGGACATGTTGGAAGAAGATGTGGTCTCGTGCTCGTCTTCTCCAGCTCGGTCCCATATATATGATGGCTCTTTCCACTCTGCCTACTCCGAGGTCTCTGTGATGTCCCACGCCTCCCTTGACTCTGAAGCTTCCGTCGCGTCCCATGCCTGCACCTTGCAAGGTGACAAGCCCAAGAAGAGCAAGAAGGCCAAGTCGCAGAATCAGCTGTCGCCAGCAGAGGAGGAGCTGATGTGCGAGTTTCTGGAGGGCAACCCTCTTATCTGAAACAACCGCATGCAGGAGTATCGGAGGTCTGACAACAAAAGCCGACTCTGGGCGAAACAGGCGAAGGTGCTGCACAAGACCTCAATCAGCCCATATCCATGGTTGTTGAAATCACTCCGTGACTGCCACACCAGGCTGGACAAGAAGAAGAGCGGAGACGGTGCGCCTGAACTCACAGAGCGAGAGCAGTGAGTAAAGAACAGGTTGAAGTTCCTGCAGAACATCACGCTTCATCACGCTGAGCCAGTGTCGAGTGTGAAGGCCGCCATTGAAGCCAGTGCTGGAGACCTGGACGCTGCAGAGCAGGTATGTGCAGAGCACCATAATGGTGAAGAGAATGCTGAAGTGACGCCATCCCCTTCCTCCTCCACCTCCTCCACAGTGCGTAAGGGCAAGCTTCATGCCGAGGACGAGCTGTTGGAAGACCCTGCAGAAGAAGGTTCAAGAGTCAGACGACATCATCAAGAGCCTGACCACCCAGCGAGGTTTCAGTATATTGGTTAACAGAGGTGAGTATATTCTTACTACAATAGAAAATCCCTTCAGATTTGGGAATTTTATGATACCCGGAAATACCGGGCTCTATCCAATAATTATTGTGTCGACGGCTAAATGGATTTGAAAAACTTCAGACATTTTTTTGGGAACAACGCAGAAATACCTTTGGAGACGAATGGAGCATGAATCAATATT